CCCAAAATGGTCTGACAAGAGAAAGTTCACTTGAAGCCCGATTCTGTGCCTAAGATCATACCTTCAAAGAGAATTCCGTGCGCCAAGATCGATGCAACGACTCAGAAATTGGACTGCTGGCTGAAGCACGACAAAATAAACCTTGCTCGAAAGGAATATAGATGTCCGATGCCATGCACAAGCGACCCGGTTTGGAAATTAGCTAGGGGTTGTCCTTACTTTACCAAGCCATCGTTCGGTTTGAAAAGGAGACTGCACCATGAACATGGGTGGCTTATTGCGTGGTGATCATGAATTTTAATGACGTTACCACTCAACTTATCCAAGGAAATCATAAGCCGAATTTCTTTGGAGAGTGGAATGTTGAATATGTTGATCGATGTTATTTTATTATTTATTTTGGCAATAGATTTATTTTTTTATATATCAATTTATATTTAAATTTAATCGGTGAAAATTTTATATTAACATTTTTTATATACATCAATTTGTATTAGTTATTTTTTTTATTATTGTTTAAAAAAAAAGATGTATAAAGAGAAATTGTTTTTATTGTAAGGGGATAAAAAAAAAGTAATTTATATTTGAAAATTGTAATATATCATATAATAAAATTTAAATTATAATTATAAATAAAATGATATCAATGAAAAATGCGAAATAATTATCTATCAAATAAAAAAACGTGGAAATAATTACGATCTTCAAAGATCGTTGCTCAAAATTTTTTTAAAGTAAAAGATCTTCAAATTTTCAGATCTTCAAAGAAGATCTTTTGTACAACTCTTTTCTGTAGAAAAGCATTTTTAAAATCGATCTTGGTAAATTTCTTTCCTCCTGAAAGCTTATCTATTAAATTATTTATTCGCGGAAGTTTATACTTAGTATCTTCTAGAAAAATCAGCACAAAGCATAATGCTCCCATCATCCTTGTAGAAGGCGATTATAAAACTTGCCGATCGAACATCTTTAACTGGTTCGATGATTTTATTTGCATCCAACTATTGAGTTTTTACCCACAACATCAATTTTTGCATACGTAAGCGTCTCGTTTCTCCTTAAATACAGCTTGACATTTTCTTTGTTAATTGATCTATTCATTTTTGGAGTTTTTCATTAGTTTTTTTATTTTCATCAATTTTTTATATGAACTAATTCAAGATATTTTTGAAAGCGTTATGAACGTCCTGATAGTGTATTTTTCTTTATTATCACCGCTTATAACATTTTTGCGATACCTTCTTAATTAACGTTGATCTTAGTTGTGCCAATTACTTTGATTTGATTAGCAATATGCTATTAGTTGTAGTTTGGATTTTTTTATGATATGCCTATTTTCTTAGCTACGCCACGAAATAGTAAATCTTGATCTAATGTCAATTTGCATTAAGGTAGTAATATTATTTAATTTTAGAATAGCTATAAAAGCACCGTCATCACCATTGTACGTGTTCTAGAGTCAAGGTATTGACATTAAAATCAATGTCATTATTGTCGTGGTGTTGACTTTGTTTGTAATATCGATTTTGGTCACATTAGATCTGTTTTCTCTGATTTTTATCACATCAGATCTGTTTTCTCTGATTTTTATCACATCATGTGTTGTTTCTACCCATAGGCGTAGCCCGGATTTTCCTAAAGAGGGGGGGGGATTAAAAAATTTCTGGGGGCTTCATCCCCAGATTACATTTTGGGCGGGCCTTCAACCGGGTTACCGGGTTACCTTAGTCTATAAATAGTCATAAAATATTTTTAAAGATAGGAGGTTATTTTTAATAAAAATATAAGCCTGGAACAAATATGAAATATATTTTTATTAGTTTATATAAAATATAATAAATTACTTATATACATTAAAATAAAAGCGTGGTAATAATTTATTCCAAACAAGTATAAGAAATTTATTTATAAAGAGTAAGTAGACATATAGTTGATATTTTTCTATTATATAGAATTGGTTACAAAATACTACGTAAAATTCTACTTTTACAGACATGTTTGACAGTTAGATAATATATTACAGTTAATATTTTAACAAATTTTACTAATCAATGATCTTGATAATAAATATAGCAACAATTTGCATTCAATTATTTAACGCCATCTATTTATTATAAATAAAAAATAATATTAAAAATTAATCTTTATATTATTTATCCCACAATGTCTTTAAAAGATATTTTTCTGATGTCCTTATCAATATTTTATAGATTTCTGTAAAATATACAATTCGCTATTTTGGTAAAAAATATTTGATTGTCATATGATAATTGATAAAATTAGATATACTGTAAATTTACGACATATAATATTCCCCTGTTTGTATTGTGCTTTAATTTTTTTTATTTAATTTATGATTTTATTTTATCAATAGTTTTATAATTATATTTTACTTTTATTAAAATAAATAAATTAAAATTTTCACTTTAAATTATATTTAATATATTATATTATTTAGTAATTTTATGGATCTATTATTAATAATTATAATATATTATATTATTTAGTAATTTTATGGATCTATTATTAATAATTATAATACATTTCACTTTTTTCTGAAGACTTATCTTTGGCTTATATTCCATTTCTTAAAAATCATTTTTGGTTCTCTTTTTTTATATATAAATGCTTTATGTACGATGAACTTCCTAATATTTTATATATACATTTATGCATATATATATTATCTATTGTGAAAATGGAGGAATAAAATGTCAAAAACCCAATCCTATAAAATAGTTTTATAAAAAAAATATCAACTTTTACATTCTTTCTTTCAAATTATTGTTTAAGATATTTGCATACATTTTTGGGGGTCAGGGAGTGTGGGGAGGACTAAGGGGAATATTTTTTATTTTTTTTTATCTTAAAATGATATTCACAAAAAGTAATAAATTTCTGAGAGGGGGGGGGGGATTTCCCCTTTTATTCAAATTATTATCATGCTGCCTATAATTGTTATTCTGATGGAGCCTATAATTATTATTATTGTTATAATAACCTCTAAAATTATAGTTATAACCTTTAAAATTATTGTTATAATCTTTAGAATTACTGTTATAACCTATAAAATTATTTTTATAATCTTTAAAATTATTGTTATAATTTCTATTCCTATCATTATAATTATTGTTATATTATCATAATGTTGTCTAAATTTGTTTCTAAAATTATCATTATAATCAAATCGATTAGATCTAATACAATATTTATTATTCTCATTCCTACAATTAAATCTAGGGTTACGTAAAATTTATCTAAATTCTTATGTTTGTTATCAACTGTATTTCTAGTATCTATATTTTTATTAAACTTTTTATCATTGTTTACATAATTTATAATATCATTATATGGTTTAATATTAATGCTATCAAATTTTCTTCCTAATAGTAACATGTGATCTAAATTTAAATTAACATCCTTATTTTGTTTAATATAAGCTAAGCACCTTACGTTTTTTTTATAATTTTGTATGGAGAGTTAAAAATCCAATTGAAGCTCAATCTAAAAATTTTGCCGAATATTTATATATACCATTTTCTCCGTTCAATCAGCTTTCGACATCTATAGCACTTTATCCTTCTAAAATAGCTTTAGACATTAAAGCTATCCCTATTGAAGATAGTTCTATGGCAGGGGAAGGTTTTAATAATTTTGGTAAATATTTAAAAACTGATGAATTAATGTCTCTATTTTTACATCCTATAAAAGTATTGAATTTAATACCCAATGGGGTAAAAAATAATAAAGTTTTTGTAATTAATAATAAATTTAAAATATTAAAAAATGTTAGCGAAAAATCAGTCTTAGAGGATGATTGCGGAGCCTGGACTGGAAAGCCAAGAGGATCGAATATAATTTATTTTTTAAAGAAAAGCAAATTTAAAATCATAATATTTTAGAATTACTTGAGCCTCAGCCAAATATTGACAATATGGTAATTCTTTATCGTTACTATAATGCGTTAAGAAATTGTGAAAAATATAAGAGAAGGATTTCTTATTTGGTTATAATTCAAAAAGTAATGACGGAAACTTGAAATTTTTTTCATCTTATGTTTATATGAGTAAGTTTACACATAATGAGTCAAAATAATAAAATATTTTTAAAATCCCAAAAATCTAAAAACTTTTGACTAAACTGAGAATTTACATCATAACTCAAAAAATAATGATGGAAACTTAAAATTTTTTCATTTTATATTTATATGAGTAAGTTTACACATAATGAGTCAAAAAATAAAATATTTTTAAAATCCCAAAAATCTAAAAAAAATTGACTAAACTAAAAATTGACATCATAACTCAAAAATTAATGACGGAAAACTTAAAATTTTTTTCAATTTATGTTTATATGAGTAAGTTTACACAAAATGAGTCAAAAAAATAAAATATTTTTAAAATCCCAAAAATCTAAAAAAATTTGACTAAACTGAGAATTGACATCATAACTCAAAAAATAATGACGGAAACTTAATTTTTTTTTCATTTTATGTTTATATGAGTAAGTTTATACAAAATGAGTCAAAAAAATAAAATATTTTTAGCATCCCAAAAATCTAAATATTTTTGACTAAACTGAGAATTGACATCATAACTCAAAAAATAATAATGGAAACTTAAAATTTTTTTCATTTTATGATTATATAGCTTGTACCAAATAAATTAATCCAAAGTAAAGAATTATGCTCTCATAATTCATATTTTTTTTTAATTAAAAACTTAATTTTTAATATATTACGCCATCTAACGGAAATAAATTTATGTTTTTTAAAATTATTATGTATGTTATATTTTCTATGTAACATATCTGCTCTATACATATTTTAAATTTATGGACTACAATTTCTTTTTTATTCTATTTTATATATTTAGATAAAATTAATTATGGATAAATTTGATTTACATAATAAAACATTTTATTTATATTTTTATAATAAAATTGATAGGCTATAAAATAAAAATAAATTTTACCTGTCAATTCTCAGTTTACCTGTCCATTCGTGTCCCTGTCAATTCTCAGTTTAGTTACACGGAATATTTTTTATTTTTTTTCTAGGATAGGATATTGATGCAGACTGAATGGAAAGGCTTTACTGACACTGAAATACTCAAAATAAAAAGTAAAGTTAATCTAAATATTTTATATTATCTTAAATTATAAGTTATAATTTTGTTTAATTAATCACAGAGTCATCTGACAACAAAGTTACAAATGGAAATGAAAAAATAAAAATATATAAAGAGGCATCCTTTGAAAATAAAATTAAATCTAATAGAGCATTAGCAAAATCTAGATCAAATTATAAAGATATTTCAAATATTGAATCAGATTTAAATCAAAATTTTGCCACATTGGAAAATAATGTACCTTCTTTAAATAACACAATTCAACCCATATTAGATGGTAAAATAAATTTAAAATCATCATATCCTTTAAAAAAAAATATTAGTTAATGCTACTATAAAGGAAGATATTTTGCCATCACAAGAAGAAAATAAGGAAAAGGGAGAAAAGTATATATTACAATTAATAATAGCTTATTATTAATAAATAAAAATTATAGTCTATCTATCCTGTTATGCTTTCTAACAATGCTGTATGCCTGAATTTAAACTAAAAATTCTGTAGCAGCTGGGTGCTATATCTTAAATATCATCCCATTTTTTAATCAACTTTTTCTTATATAAACATATAATTACTTAAGTTTTGAGTACAATTTCATTTTTCAACTTAGCAATTTTATAAGGTTCAGATTCCTATATCCTATTTATAAAATTAGAATATACTCACAAATATTACACAACTAAATAATCACTCTAGACTTATTAAAAGAATATATTTGTTAATATACAAGCAACATAAATGTAGTGTTGTTAAATGTCTCATTTTGAGCTGATTTTTAAAAATGGCCAACTCATTATTTTATCCAGAAAATTATTACTAAAGTCTGAAGATTTTGTTCATAGAAGGAACAAAGGTCTAGACATATATTATCGAAATCTCGAGGCTTAGACAATATTTTTCTGGCTAAAATATTGTGCTAGCCATTTATATTGACTCAAAACGAGCCATTTAACAACACTACATGAATGCCATCCTCTCATAAATTAATGTTTTTTGTATTAATAAAGCCAATATCCCCAGAAAAAAATTAATTCTTCTGTTTAAATATCATTTGCAGTTTGAATGTTGGGCCCTTGAAATTCATATATGCCCTGACTGCAGCACATCATTTCCATCCCCAATTGTCATGTTATGCCCCTGGCAGAACTGTTATTAGTTATTATGGCCCCCTAAATAAATTAGCTAGATATGCAAGATTTCTGATTTTTCTATCTAATAGATTATAACTGTAAAAAAAATTGTAAATGCCATTACCCACTAATTCTAATTATAAATTTACTTTTCTTAGGCAAAGTATTTTTTTAAATGAAAACTTTGGAGAAGGAAGGATAGGATGACTGGATTAGGGCTCTTAGATGGTGTGAGAATATGTGCTCAAAATTTTTTAATTTTTATAAATCATTTTTAAAATGAGGATCATAAAATCTTGTCTCATGTAATTTTTTTTTACCTTCACTAATAAATTATTTTAGTTATTTTAAAAATATTGTTATTTTAAAAATATTATTTTTTTATATAGATCAGCATTTTTGAAACAGATTCTTAAATGCTGATAATCAGTTAATTTTAATTTCAAAAATAAATATTTTAGAAAATAATTTGTCACCAGTTTGGACGCCATTAAATATAATTTTAGAAAGTAAAGGGTAAAGTAATGTAGATTTTTTCTTTCTGAGTGATACTTTTTGAATATTGGATACCTTAGAATATAGAGTGCAATAATATTATATAGGTCTGACTGATTAAACCGTTATCACATCCAATTTATTTACTATTAGTCTGTCTAGAATGAGGTGACCCATAGGCGCCGACTTTACTAGAGCATTGGGGCTCTATAAAAAGTAGATAAATTTTTATATCTCATCTAAAAAGGAAACAAATAGAAAAAACATATATTTTTTGCTATGCTCTTTCGCCTCTTCTCTCTCACTAACTCCTAAAAAAATAGATGAATTATTATTAAAAACTCTTGAAAAATTTTCAATACATCGCCTATTTATATGTTTGCATGGAAAGCAATAAAGGAACTCAGAATAATTTCAAAAAAAATCCACATCAAAAAATCAACCATCGCATTTATTAAAATATCATCTATTTATTATTTTGCAATACTAGGGTTGGCATTTAGATCGCATAAATATGGCTTAAATTTTGTGCAATTGACTTTCTGAATTAAAAGAATTGTTGATCGCAATAGTGGATATAACATGATTTAACTAATGAAATTCACACCATTGTACGAGATGCAAAGGAGAATTATAAAACCTATAAAATTTGCTACAGTCTACTCGATAATCGCAGATGAAACCATGGATATATTTATAAAAGAATCGCTTTCGATATGTTTTCGTTATGTGAGAGAGGATTTAAATATAAATATAATATTTTTAGGATTTTATTGTAACAGAAACAAATTCTGAATATTTATCTATCATAATCAAAGATATATTTACTTTATTCTTTAAACATCAAAAAGTGTAAGGGTCAATGTTATGATGGAGCCTCTAGCTTTAGTGGAAAGGTATATAGTTTACAAGCTTGTAATGAAAAATTTAGAGCATTCTATGTTTTGTGAAGGTTACACATAAATTCTTGTTGTACAAGATTCATTTAATACTATTGCACTAATTCGCGATTTAATAATATTAAAGAAATATTTATTATCTTTGCTTGTGATTCTCCCAAACGCATAAATATTTCGTTCCATCATTAAAATAATAATTCAAATTCTTTAAGGCCACTATGCCCCACACTCGTATAAGAAGAATATCGCCAAAATCAATAGAAAACTTATCAGATTTGATAGATAGGTTATCGATAAAACTGATTATATTTAATCAAAAATCATTCTTGAGTTAAGCTATTAATCAAAATTATATTATATATTATTTTTTAGAAAATCAAATTTAATAAATAATAATTTTTATTTATGAAATTTTTATATTTTATTTGATAATTATGTTTCTCAATCAATATTGTATTTTTATACTCTTGTATTAATATCTTAAATAGATAAATATTAATATCTTCTATAGTATTTTATTTTAAAAACGGATGTTACATTTTTGAAAAAAGTAACGTAACGCATTTTGGAAAGTAACGAGAAATGTAACGATTTATTTTGTTTACAACGACAGCACTCCTTATAATAAATGAAGAAATTACCATTTTTAAAATCAAACATTAAAATTGTTCATTCATAACGGGTTTTTTATGACTTTAAAAATATTCCATTTTTTATAACGAAATCTTTTCTTATTCTTCTACGGTGTTGTTTGCAGATTTGATGGAAAACATTTCCATATTTATTAATTTATATACATTTAAAAATATTTAACTTGAAATCGTTAAAATAGGTATTTTTATAATTTTTACAGTTAAATAATTTTATCTGCAAATAAATTAAAATAAGGTGCTTTCCATCAAATCTGCACAACACTGTATTTAATACATTTTTAATATTTTTTTATAAAGGTCGCAGTTCGAAACTTTGGAGGAATTTGAAAATTATAACCGGGAAATTGAAAAGCAAAATCGAGAAAAGAAAAATATTTTATTGCAAGCCATCTCTGAAAGGTATTGGGACATTCTTCTTTTTTTTTTATTATGCATTCATTTTACAAGTCTGAATAATTTTTCTAGATACACAATTTTAGGGGAACTGAATTGGCAGTTGATTTCCAGTTCATTAGAATCTTGGAATGATAATTTTTATATGACTAAGAATAAAAGTCTTATAAGGAGCTATTTTTTATTAATACCATAAAACTTACTTTTTCTGAACTCATTTCAAAGAGTTTATGTATTGAAAATTGACTGCCTATCCAATTCAAAGAACATACTCTTAGAAAAGTTTAAATCCTTTTTTAAAGAACTTCCATATAAGAAAAATTGGTCAGCAATTATTTAATTGTTACTATGTTACATCATATCTCGATCAGATTTTCTTTATTTTTTTATAATTTTACATTTTTTTCCTTTTCATAAATCCATAATCTGCAGATCTAAAAAGTCGAAGGATGAACAAAAACTCTTGTTAGAATTGCGTAAACAGTTAAACGAAATTGATAAAAGTCTTTGTGTCGATATTTCGGGCCTCAGAAACGAGATAGAAGAACAGAGTTTGGCCTATATGAAAGCCCAGTTACTTATTTTATTTTAAAATAATCTTGTATGCCTGTAGACTTTTTAAAATTAGCTCGTATAAATGTTGCATAAGATATTTTAATTTTTGCCACAAACTAATAAAAAAAATTTAAAACTAGGCTTTTAGAAATTATATCAAATTTTAATACATTTTTTCCTTACACTTAGGCGTTAAATTGTTTTATATTTTGTAATAAGGATACTTAATTATAATTTAGTAATTATTGTATAAAATACTTATTTTTAAAAAAATTTGACATTTTATAACATATTACATACTAGACATAGATTTGAAAAGGCTGAAAAGGAGTATGTATTGGCCAAAACGGAATATCACGATTTTTCCCAGAAAAAAGATACCTTGACGGAAAAATTGTTCTTTACAATACAACAAACCGAGGTTATTATTTTAACTATATTATTTATTTATATATAGGGCTTGTAAAGTATGATTTTTAACTTGAAGTGTATCTTATTTAAAATATCCAAAATCAGAGCTAGCAACCAGAATCTAAAATCCTAGGTACATGTCAAATTTAAAAACCGGAAACAACCCATTTTTGAAAATTTTAGGAACCAGAATGAGAAACATTTTTTAAAAAATATTTAGAACTAAAAACGTAACTCTTGTTAGTACAGACTGTAAACTCTGTTTTAAATGAATTCAAAATTTATTTGCAAAGGTTTCAAGTTACGTTAAAACAAAAAATGATAATTTAATATTTAAGTTTAAAATAACATTTAGTTTAGATTCTATTATTTGTGTTTAAATATTTAAGTAGAAAGAAAGAAAGGAATCGAAATGAAACTGGATTTAGAGTGTATAAAAATAAATTTTAAATTTCTTATCTTTTTCACATGTAAAATGATTTAGATGAGAAAAGCCAAAAAATTATCGGAACTTTTAGAAACCCTAGATATAGATCAAAAAATGACATCTAATTCGCATTCGATCGCTGACAATGGCACCTCCTGAATGATATATATATAAGACCTTTATATTCATATTTTTTTTAAAAAAAATTTTACGTTTATAAAAAAATTTTTAGTAAAACGGAAAACACAAATTTTGCATTTATGACATGATTTTCATGCAAATGATTTGGTTTATTTCTTTTTTTGAAATATATTTAAATAATTTTACCATATTAATATTTTGGGATAAATTAGCTCATTTTATGCATTATTAAAACTATGTAATTTTTTGTATTGTAAAATAAAAGACAATATTGGGTCATAATATGTCACAAATTTTATATAATTTATATTTCTTATAGCATAATTTATAGCCTCTATTATTAATATATATAAAAATGAATATCGAAAAATAAAAAAATCAATCGAAATATCAAAAAACTATTCAAAAAGATTGAAATTACGAATATTAAAAACATTTTTTTTTAAAGTTTTAATTTTTGCCAGATTAAATTATAATACAAGGAATTTCACACATTAGCACAAAATTAATTAGATTTTATCCTATTATAAATTAGCCTCCGTAAAAAAAATCCTTTCTGAGATAAATTTTTTATTCTGTTATTTTCATATTATATCTGACATATTTCACCATCGCGTTTTATCAATATTAAAATTATGTGAATAATATACGAAAATATACAGAATAAAATGTGAATTTGACCTTAAAGCATATTTTTTTTTAATTATAATTATTCAATTTCACAAAAATGCATAAAAAGGGTAGTTTTTGTTTATTTTTTTAAATTAGAAAATATAGATAATATTATATAGATTATTAAGAAGCAGGGCGTTGAACCAAACTAAACCGCAAAAAAGCGTTATAATTTTCTGAACCGAAACTATGACCGAACCGTTATACAACAATCTTGATACTGTCTTCGTTTTCTGCATCAGGTTAGATGAATAAAGCACATTAATATATCTTTCTTGATCACTCAGATAACTTTTTAAATTCAGCCTTGAATTTTTCGAAACCTTTGCCTTGTCAAAAGCTGACCGCCAGTACAGCACAAATCAATTTTTTAACCTTTAATTAAAAAAAAATTGTTTAAATCCTCTTTTGGCCACATTCAGAGAAATAGTTTTTTCAAAGAGATTTCCTGGGCACGTTTCAAGCATTTTATTATATGCAGTATCAATATTTAGATACTATTTTAGCTGTATCTAAATACAATTTGATATAATTTTATTTTGCTTTTTTTTATATTAAAATTTGAATTAATTTAATAATATGTACTAGTTTATTTCTTTACAAACTAGACCAATTTTAATTTATGAGATGGATGACGACATATATTTCAGCAGTTTTTTATCAAAGGATGTAAACGGTGAGAAGAAAATAAATAGGTATTATATTTTGCTTTAAAGACATGAGCGCCCAAAAGTGTATAAAGTAGGAGGAATAAAGTTGCAATTTTTTTTTAAAAAGGTATATTTATATTTTGGGAAAACATTTAGAATTTTTTTAGATACAAGATTATCAAGAGAAATTTAGATTAAAAGGAAGACTGCAAGCAAATGGTTCAATGAAGATATGGGTGTAGACTTTATTGAGGGTAAAGGGGTGGTAGAATTTGATATAATTATATGTATTAGTATATTTTGACTATGTATTATAAATTTAATATTTAGTATAATTTACGCCATTTATTAGGGTAGGCAGAATTAGATTAGAGGATAACCTTAGACATTAAGATGAATTTGATATATTTATTGGTATATTGGACTATGTATTTTAAATTTGAGAAAAAATGTAAGAAAAAGTGATAATATATTTCAGAAGTCATAAAGGTTTAAATAGATTATTTTAGGTAAAAGTAGATTAGATGCTGAAACCTTGAGATAAAGATTAAGTGAGAATATAGAAAAAGTAGATATCTAGGAACTGTTGTAGAAGACCTGAAAGTCTAAAAGATCTATACGGCGACTAGATAGAACAAATGGTCAAGACGTTCATGCTGCAATCGTTAATCGCTGACCAATATAGCCAAAGTCTAAGATACGAAAGTCGACGATCATAGAGACAAGAATTCGTGGAAGCAATTATTAATCGCAGACAAATTATCTCAATCGTTTACTGTCATTAGTAACCAGAAACCGTTAAAAACAAGCAAAGACTAGGATAATTTACCAGAAGAATTTAAGACGGAATATAATTGAAAAAGAGACTAGTATTCATCGCGAATCGTTGATAGCATGCGTTAATCAAGTTCGTCAACTGCCTACAGAGATCAAGAGACAATAGTTTACCATGGGTTCACAAGAAACAGAAGATAGGATTCAAGAATTTCAGGCTGTAATCGGATACAAACAGTCCTTAGAAGTGAAGAATACTAGACAATGGACAACCAACGTTAGGACTTAGAAGACATTAAAGATTAAGCAGTAAAGATTTAGTGGATATATAAGATCAGTAAAGTTGAAATTGGAAGAAAGTTGGTCATTCGCTGAATGGTGGATTTGACTTAAGAGGAAGGGTGTTATAATAGTCTGTTATCTATTATTCAAATTGTGATAATATTCAAATAAAAATAATGTTTTATTAAAATTGCTACTTATTTAAGTCTTTTGTATATTTTCCATACTTTAAGCGTTTTAACAATTGGAGTTGTTCACTTTTATTTTTAGCTTATAATTTTCTTAATTATTAACTTTTTCTTATATTTTTTTACTTTCTTTTTTAATTTTTCTCTTATAATTTTTTAATTTAATTTGATAATTAGTATTTATAGTTTATGGTTATGAATAAAACGTTAAAATCTTAAAATGTTAAAATTTTGTTTTTAATTATACTAATTTGTTTCTTCCTTTTATTTTAGATTCAACTACAACAGTAATATTACATTATAATAAAAATGGAAATTTTAAGATCTTTTCAATTTTTATTTTATTCTTTGATATAGTTTGCGGTTTTAATTTATTTTATTATATTAATTTTTAATTTTATAATTGGTTATGATTTTATATGAATACAATTTTTTAAAAATGGAATTTATAAAATTATATTTTTTTTACATTAAGTTTTTCAAATTAAATTGATATTAAGTAATAAAGATATTATAAGTACTGGTTTAAAAAGTAATTGATAAATATAAATTATATTTTTTAAAGTTTTATTCGAAAGATATTTTTTTTGTCGCGAAAATATTCAGAAGGAAAAGGCTAATATCTTAAAGGTATTTTCAAATATTTTAATATCATTGTACACAAATTAAATTTCCTATAATGCTGTTACGTTTTCGGTCCGAACAATATATTTTTTGGTCGAATGGCTATCATCTTAAATGTAATTTAAAATATTTTTATATCATAGTACTCAGAATTAAATTTCCTGTCTAAAAATACTTATATGTATTTTTTAACGTTTCCAGTTCAAAAAATATTTTTTTGTCATGAAAACATTCAGAAGGAAAAAATTAACATCTTAAGCGTGATTTCAAATATTATTATATCATTGCAATCAAAATTAAATTTCCTATCTTTTCTTTGGTTCGAAAATTTTTTTGCCGCGAGAACATTCAGAGGGTATTATATCATTGTATTTTCGAACCGAAAACGTAAAAAAAGTATGTCATAAACTTACAATAACTTTATACTTACTATCAATTTAGTTATAAAAAAACTTAAATAGAATAAAAATATAATTTAAAAATTCCATTTTTTAAAAATTGTATTCATATAAAATTATAACTAAATATAATTTAATTAAAAATTTATTTTAAAAATTAATATAATAGAATTATATTAAAACCGCAAATTATATCAAAGAATAAATAAAAAAATTGAAAAGATCTTAAAATTTCCATTTTTTAAAATATATTATAATACAATGTTATTATATAATATTTTTCTTAAAGAAAGCAATAAATCAATCAAATTTCTCATTAATCATTTTCTTTGTTTTTTTTATTTTCAATATTAATTTTTAGCCTTTCGACTTATGGACCTTGCGGAAAAAGAGTGTCTTAAAAACATTAGAAAAAAATATCAATAGATAATGAAGGGGGGGGGGGTGACTTTTCATCGAAATAAACTAATTTTTAGATTTATTTATAAATGTTTTTTTTAAAAAACCTTTTATTCTTTCTCATATGTGAATGTTGTTTTTAGTAAAATGAGTTGAATATTTTCAATTCATATTTTATTTAAAATGCTCGATTAAGAGAAGAAAAAATCGATCTCGTAAAGTTGAATGAATCCATTAACGAGATTAAAATAAAAAGTTGAATTAAAAACATTAAGTCATGCTTCATGTATCTTGCATTCTTTAAATTTTCATAAAAAAATTAAAAATGCGAGATAATAAATAATAGATATATGAAACTTAATATATTATATTTAATATATTTTGACGAAGAAAATAGTGCCTATAAAATACAAGTCACCAAAAATTATCGCGCATTAATTAATTCATTAATTTTCAGATACATATTAAGAATATAATTTAAAAGGTTATCCAAATCTAGTACTTTTTAAACCTCATTTTATTCTAAATAGCTAGGTTATTTAAGCCATAAACTACTTGTGTTTCAATTTTTATAAAATAAAACAAAAAAAGATAATTTCAACCGTATTATTTTATATAAATACAATAACAATAAATAAAATATAATAGTAGTTATTATAGTACAAGATAAAATATGCCTGCCTTATTATAAATAATATAATTTATGAAAACGCGTGACCAAATCCCTGATTAGAATTTCCTAAAATCAATTTCAAAAAATCTTTTACAATCCTGGCAATATAATACTTTGAAATATCCCATGATCCCAACCTAATAAAAATTCCCCCTAAAACCCTTTAATTTTTTTTCTTTCGATTTTTAACAAAATTATTAACACCTCCCTTACTATAAAAACGTTAACTTCAAAATTTACTATCAACTTCTTTTCCACGGTAAAACATTTAATTTTGAGTAAGTTATCAGCTTCAAATGCGGCTAAGGGCCTGAATTCACTTTTCATGCTATCCTCTAAAATTCTTCCTTCAATAAAATAGTCTCAATTATGCAAATTTTTCACAGAAAACCCCTCGTTTCATAAAAGTATTTGCCCATCTACTTACTAACTTTTGACCTAATTAAACTCTCCGTCAATCAAGTTCTCAAACTCTATTAGGTACGATGGCCTGATCAGCCCTTATCCGCGGCTGGCTCAGCCCGTAACAATGTTTAACCGCTGGATCTCTATAGGCATTCTCGTGGGTGACGCTAACGCCAGACGTCCTACATTTAGCCAGGCAGGCCTCGTAAGTATCGCGCGCAGCTGAAAGCGTGGCGTCCCGTTCTCCATAACGGGTCATAACGGCTCGTATAATGAGATAATTAGAAGGGGATAGGCAACAGGAAACGCAATGTTCGTATGATGAACAACAACGGGACAAGGTTTCACAACTGTCGCACACGTAGCGACGCGTTTGGTTGTTTTCATTATTGGCGCCCAGGCGATCCGAGTTGTTTAAATTTATAATCGATTGGGGTTTGGTTCCAGAGATTATATCGTCAAGACTAGTCGTATCATTCTCCGATTCCTGCTGCCAAGATTTAAATTGCTTGGAAGAGCTATTTTTGATATCCATATTGCCGCTAGATACCGTATCATGATAACTACGATTTATATCGCAACAACCGTTAGCTAGTAAGTGGGCTAGAGGGCATAGATAGCCTTTCTCGTCGGTGACAAAGAAAGGTCCCTGTAAAGTGTTTCGGCATTCCGACGGAGCCAAATTAGTTACAGTATCATCCAGTTGTAGCCAAAATCGAGAAGCCATAGATCGAATATGGTTATTATGAAGTAATTGTCGATTAGCTTTAGAACCACCGATTGAATTTAATGGCAGCAAATCTTCAAAAAATTCATTGTAATTGCTCTGTTCGTGGCCTTTTTTTGTGTTATCGGTGTTCGGATCGTTTAAGATGAGCATAGAGGATAATTTGTGGATAAAATTTCCCAAAAAATGTAGTTTTGATTTAGAGAGGGTGGATTGGTATGATATGGGGCTTATTGATACGTGTCGAAAAGCAGAGACTTTGTGCACATCATTGCCAATATTATTTCTATTGGAGCTACCTTTGTTGATATATAAGTGCGAATAACTATGATGGTAAGGTATTATAGGGGAAGACGATTCGATATTGGCAAATGTGGACCAATGGGAGGTGGGGATCGAGATGAGCGAAAGAACCAAAAGTGACAGGAATAAAAGCGCGGTAAAAATATACTGATTATTTTTGAGGAGTAATCGACGTTTGGTCCAATCGATAAAACGAATTTTGTAAGCTTTCTTGGAGCAATTGTATACGTTAGTTAAATTATTGATTCGTTTGAGAGATGATTTCATATTGGTTTTTTTAAAATTTCTGTTACTTTTATATCATCAATATAAAACATAATTAGTTTCATCAATAATTTGAGGTTAAGATGTTCATATTTTGTTTACATGTTTCAGATGTTGGCTGCAAATTTTATCAAAAAAAATATACAATTATATTGATATTCTATACAATAATAAATGTTTAAGATAACATTTTCAGATTAATAATTTATTATCTAAATTCAAAATTCAGATAATAATATAAGGGTTTTGGAAGTGCGAAGATATGAACAAGGAGACAAAATTAAATATGAGCATAGCAATACACTTATTTAAAATCTGCATGGACTTTTCAGCCAAATTTGATCCAAGCGAAATCTTATTGGTGAGATTTGTAATAAACATTTAGTGGATAGTCATGTTGAGATTTAAATTGTCATATTTTGTACTGCATTTATAATCAGAGATGAACTCAGGATATATGTATAGGTATGTGTCAATATTTTAAATTTTAACTGATACCAACCAAGTGTTGTCAAGAATATCGATTTCGCTGATATTTTTTTTAAAAAAAGCGAAAACACGATTTTAACCAAGATCTAGGCCTCTAGATTTCGCAAAAAGTGGGCCAAACCTTTCTGAAATGTTTGGCCAGCACTTAAGGGTTAGGTAATAACTTATTTGGCTAAAATCATGTCTTAGATATTTTTTTTAAATATACTAAATTGAAATTTTTAATGACAAATTGTTTAAAAAAATACCTTATATAATGATAATTTTATTGGTATCAGTGGTATAGGCCAAATAACGTGTTAGTATCAGTTTTAATTATTTGTTAAGTGACATTAAGTGTATCTATGACTTTTTTAAGAAAAAAAATTATGCTTTCCTTAAAAATAATATTTTTTAAAAATTATAAAAATAAATTCATAGCTTTTTAAAAATAATTTTCTTTTTGAATTGGAACAAAAAGAATTTTAAGTAGCGTCAAATATAATATATTTAACAAAGAGTTTGATTTTTTTCTGTCTTTCAGACATTTTTTAATTATATTATAAATTAGATTTGATCTTAAAATTGTGTCCAGATGCAAAGATTTCTAATAAAATTGATTTATTAAAATTTTAAGGTTTCTATTTATTAATATGCAATGCAAATATATGTATATATTTTTTTAATTTAAATTTTAAAAACTTCATTAATTTTTTTAGTTGATATTGCAAAATTTATAAACATTACTAGGGCTAGGACATACATAAAAAAATTTAAATATTCTATTTATAACAAAAATAAACAAAAACGCATATATTATAACATACAATTTTTTTTTAAATTTAACCATCATATTTTCGAAGCTCGACCCCTCTTTGCAGTAATATTAAGGCTGCGGAATTGACAATTTTTTTCACCGATCCAACCATTGCTAAAAAAAATTTTAAACCCGATCCGATATTGAAAATAGCATAGAAAAACTGATCAGATACCAATCTTATTTAAATTCAAAAAAATTGTTTGTTAAATATTTTTAGCTTTTGAATTTTATTTTAAAAATAAAATCATAATATTTCCTTACTAAACTTTCTATTTTAATTTTAAAATGTTTTTTTAATAAAATTCTGTTGAGTTTATGATAGAAAGGGTAAATAATTTTCTTGAACTCATTTCATATATTAATCTCAACTCAATCTCCATACTAATTTTCCCCTTCCTTCTATGGAAAAAATAATATGCAAAAATTTTATATATTAGTTTTCAAAATTTCGTTTGAAATAATTTTAAGAATATTTTTTTTATTGTTTTTTTATATTTGAAAAAAAAGTTTTTGTTTTTTTACATCCCTTTTCTGATTCATTCTTATAAAGAAAATATAAAAATTTTCTAGAAATGGGAAGGTCAAATAAAATACAGTTTATTATTATTTATAAAAAAAATTAGATTGGGTTTTAAAATGATATCGGGCCAATCTTTTTTCTCGAAAATCACTAATATCTGTTTTGATCCGATTCCAATTTAAGTAGAGCCCTATTATGCACCACGAAATAAATAATGAAGTAAAGAATTGTAAATAAATACAATAACTAAATGAATAAAAAATAGACAGAAAAACATAAATTATATTTAAGGATACCTAAACCTGAAAAAATAATTAAAATGATTCCCAAAATTATCAGAATCTGATAGGTGCAATATCATTCAAAATCGTATCCGATTTTTTAAAATAATCATATAATTTTTATAAGAGAGCTATGCAAAAGCTCGGCGCGTAGGTGGAGAAATTTTTAAAAAAAAAAATAGATAAAAAATTTAACGGGTCCAGGCTTGGCAATTCATACATTTGGAATAAAATTTTTGTTTTTTTCGTAAATTTTTGGGAATTAAAATTTGGATATGTTTTTTTTCAATTTCAGGCTAATATTTTAAAAGTACAAATTACAATATCCTTATTTATTTATATTTTATAAGCGTTTAACTAAAATACAATCTATATATATAAAATAATAACACGAAAAAAATAAACAAGTTATTTATTATCAAAATTGATTTATCAAACAGTTGTTATAGAAATAGATAGCCATAGAGATATAAGAGCAGAGCCTTAATTGACATTGGGAAAAATTTTATATAGGGATTAAAATGTACTGGCAATAAAATTAGTCTCAAAAATTAAATAGTTCAGGTTGACACTTTTGCAAAATTTCAATGGGCAAGGCCAGACAAACATAAATAGTGGGTCAGGTGGGGAATGCAAAAAATCTTAATGGGTGGGGTCTGGTTTTGTAGGTCTAAAAAGAAAGAAATAACAAAAAAGAAAAAGTTTTTTTTAATCTAAAAAAATAAGGAACCTCAAAAATAAGTTTTATAAAAATATTTAATGTTTTCAAATAATTTTTTAAAATGGTAATGTGCTAATTGGTAAACGTATTTTTAGCATAAAAACACAAATTGTTTTACATTTATTTAAAATAATTTATACAATGTTTCATTTTTTTTGTAAAATGCTAAACACTTATATATTAAGCAATTCTAACTTTGTTTAATAATCAATTTTAAATAATTTAATGGGGGTCAGGCATAAACATTTCCCATTTTTAAAATTTAAAGGTAAATTTTTGGTGAATAAAAAAAACAAGATTTATTTTATTTTCATGATAATGTATCAAATATCACCTTGACCATTTGAAATGAAGAATTCTAAAATATTCTTATTTTGTATATCATAGTTTATAGGTATTATTTTGCATATAAAATATTGATTTTTTAAAAACATTTGTTCAAAGATAGATGATAAATAAAAATCAAACTAAATATTGGATTAGTATCAGCTATCAGATTGGTTTTGTATGAATATTGGAGGTTTGTTAAAAAAATTATCAGCAGTTAATTCAATTATTTTACATTGTTTGCAGTAAAATTGAGATTGATATCATATTAAATTAATTCTAAAATAAAAAGAATTATATAATTACTTACTTCAACATTAATCTTAACCTACTAGTATATAAGAGAACATTAAAAAGTCAAGATTATTTTTTCTCATTTTTTTAAAAAAAATCAGAAATTTATTTATAATTTAAATTAAATTTGCAATTTTTCTAAATTTTCTATAAAAATTTCTTAAGTTTTGGATAAATCTTGAGAGGAATTCAAAATCAGATTACTTATAAATCATGCAACCATGACAAAAGCTCTTGTAAATAATATATGTTAATTTATGTAGAATATAACAGTTCTAGGAATTAAAATATATATTGCTAAAATAAAAACATAGCAATCTTAAATTATTTTAAAATAATAAATATAATACAGATAAGCCTAATCGAATAGATCGTCAATAAGAAATAAAAGGTGTGGAGGCTTAGAATTAAGGATCCCAAAATACATTAAACCATTCATAAGTATATTTGATAGATTATTATCATATCAAATTTTTATACATAGATTCTTATTAGAGAAAACATGTAATTAATAATATTTGGAGGTCCTATAACAGTAGAACATATATAAGAAGATATTAAATTATTATTATAAAACTATTGTGTTGGATTTAAATAATTTAAAGGCAATACTTAAAAGTTCATATATTAGTGACTACCTAACATTCTATTTATATAGAGCTGTAGTCATTTCCTATAAAAAAAAGATAATTAAGTAGATTTAAATTTTTTGGCAAATTAATTTTTTCTTTGACCATAATCATGAGAAATTTATAAAAGATAAGGTTAATATTTTCATCACACTTACCAAAATTACGAATAATTACGAAATAGGTTGATGCTTCTATTTAACATTTGTCAATCAATGGCAGGTATATTATTTATTAAATCGTTAAAATTAAATTTTTTAAATAAATCGCCTATCAACTTTCCCATCTAATATTCCTTAAAATATTTAAACTTGCTGCCCAAACTATATAAAATATTTCTTTTTCTCTATTCTATTATTATATATAAACAGATTCTTTTAAGGTTATATTAATTTTTTAGCTCTACCCCCAAAAAATGTCTGTAAAATGGCTTAATAAATAAAATGAAAAATGGTAAACTAATTGGATGAAATTCCTATATAGAGGTTTAAAGCCCTAGGGCAAGAAGGCATGTTTATTCTAAAGAAATTTAATAAAATATTGATAAAGGATAGTAGGAATGGGGTGCCATATTTATTAATAGGGCAGGATACAAGAATGCAATGATTAAGGGATTAAGACTGCGGAGAATTGTAAAATTTGCAGTAACTAGGCTTATACTTGCTTAGTTAACGAATGACGCTATCTAATCTAAAAAGATTAAACCAAATTTTTAAGCTAAAACAATCATCTTACCCTGGATCAAGGTTTAAACTGATAACTCAATTTTAAAAAAATATATATTCTTGACTGTTAGGAATGAGTCGATTTAAGAACCCAGTAAGTAATAAATATCTCAATTAAAAAATTGATTTTATGTATATAATATAATTTGATAAAATTGAAGCTCCCCATCAAATCTTTGAAACACATCACTGCTATTTATTAACTCCCCTCTTCTACGAATTCTAAATGTAAAAAAATAGCAAGAATTAATAACTTTATATAATTGTGATTTACTAATAATATATTTTTTTCACTATTATTATAACTTACCTTGATATAAATTGTCGATATAACGAGATTATAACAAATGGACATTATATGAAAGTTAAATATCTATTAATTAGTATAAAAATAAATAGTAATAAAATATTCTATTAAATATGCCAATCAGAAAATTAGATGAACTTTACGCTTAAATTACTTGACGTTGTTAAGCAAATAGTAAATTTATAATAACAATGATTATAGTATATACATTTTTATTAATTGCTTATATTTTTAATATGTCATATAGTATAAAATTCCTATCAAACATAAATAATTTTACTACAATTTTTAATAAATATAAATTTAAATACAAAAATGAGGATATAACACTTAATATTACAAAAAATATTAATACCTTTAATGTATATAATTCTACTATTCCCAATTTGGAAGTTCAAAAATTAAATGATAAGATGGTCATCACAGTTGATAAGTTTATAAAGAATATAAAAATACAATGTAAAAATGAAGATGTTTTACCACATTTAATGGAAACATATTCTTTACAAAATCCTATATTGATGAATGCATCAATATATAAAACAACATTAAATCCTAATAAACAGTTGCATTTTTTAATTATTGATGACCATAGAAGTAAAAATTTTTATCATAAGGTAAAAAATAATAAAAAAATTAAAACATATAATCTAATACATAATTTCACCACATTTAATGATACACTACTTATTCCTCAAATTCCATTCACCTTCAAAGAATCATATGAAACAAAATTCAATGATAAAGAAATCTTGGATAATATATCTATAGAAACAATGCAATCTATAGATAAATTTGAAGACTATTGTACTCTTTATTTCTTTTACCTAAAGACATGTCCATTTTCAATTGAAATAGCTCAAAAAATTAATGCACTACCAATGATATTTCCTCAGATCATCATATTAGCAATAGATGTAAATGATTATTGGAAGTATTTTATGCTAATAAATTATTTATAATTAATATGAAAATTCTGATAAAATATATTCAAATATTAATTTTAACTTGTTTATATTTTTATTTCAAAGCCTTAGCTTAAAATATGGGCTGCTTTATGTACCTAATCTGATACTTTTAAAAGGAAGCACAATTATTGGAAGACTAAAGGAACCCATCAATTTGGATAACATAATATCATTTATTGTCAACAATACGGGTAATAAATTTTATTCATCTTAGCTACATAAATTTGTCGGATTTACCTAAGTAGGCCAAACCCTTCTAATATCCCATCACCTTCTAGGATCCTGATAATCACCATTAGTGAGATCTATTATTTTAGTATACCACCTACATACATTCCCTTAAGTCCTTGAGGTTTTGAATTATCTGTTTCCTATTCAATTTTTTTTAAAATATTTAAAACTATAAAATAAGTGGCATACCTTGCTTTTCTTATTGGCTTATATAATACCTTAGTGGCTTTTTTACTAATCTATGTAGTTCACTCATTAGGGTTGTGCTAAAATAAATATTGGATCTAGGGGTGTCATGTACCGATATCCATATTTGGAGGTCGATCCAATATTAAATTGATATATCTAATTTTATATTCTGTAAAGATACCAATGGTTAATTTGTAATATACTTTTTATTAGTATAACATCTATAATTTAATTATACCATAACTTATGTCATTTAAATATATTATAATGATCAGTTATAGTTTATATTCAATTCTAAAAGTATATAAAATATTTTTATTGTTAAATCACCTTAATATAATAAGTAACAACATTAATCTATATACATAATAAGTAATAAACAAGTATATTATGAAATTTGAATAAATATTTAAAATAATATTTAACATTAATATATTGAAGATTTCTTAATACCAAAATTTCCAATTTATCAGAAATCAGGCTGCGGCTATGTTGTCAATATCACCAGTTTTACTAAAACAGATTCTGAAGAGATTATCGCATAATTTTAAAAAACAGAATGTGCAAACAAATAACAATTTTGCAGAATGTTTATTAATTAATTATTATTATTAAAAAAATATAAATTTCGATTTTATTAATAAAAATAAATGATTTTAGATATAACATTTTATTTTTGTTAAAGTGCCATTTTATGTCGGATCGGATCGGCAAATTTTATAATATTGGCCGATAACCGATATTTTAAAATAGGAAAAATATCGGCCTGATCCGATAAAAAATATCGGTACATCCCTAATTGGATTAATGGCAATATATATCATTAAAAAAATCTGATAATATAGAATATCAGGGGAGCTTATTCCATTAATAATAAAGAAAATCAGAATTTATTCATGATCATAATCCTGGCTGGTGTTGTCAAACTGCTTAATTTGAACTGATATTTAAAAACGGCTAACATTGGGCAATTTTTCTATGAATATTGAGATAGCCATTTAACACTAGTGCTGGCCATAAAAAATTGGAATGATTATTCCAGTGACCTAAGATCAGTGCTATAATTCTTAGTCCGAGGTTTAAATCATTCTTTCAATATAAAAGGGATACCCATTAATTGGATTTTATATTTAACAACATTAATTTTTTTTTTATTATCTACCTCCAATTGTTAAAATTTTTTCTTTTCTCTTCTAGCAATTGAGTACATAAAAAACTACTGTTATTACCCCCAAAAAGGCCCATTCATAATGTTAAAATTTAAATCAATATCTATCTTTAGGAGTTCAACCTACATCCCCACTTCTATTTTTTATAATAGAAAATTTTAATATATAATATTTTGCATTACAAAAATTTTAGATCTAGAACCAAAATATGTCAACCTTAATTTTATTTCCGACGACTTCTCAGGACCGATCCCAACAAAGCTTACACCCGAGAGTCCACTGTTCTTTTATTTATCTATGGCGTTTTTATCCTTTTTAGGGTTTAATTACGTTTTCAAGCATGATCGTCATCTAAAACGTCTGTTTCATAAAACTATCGATACCCTTGCACCTTCCATGATTCGCATTATATCGTTTATTAAAAAGTTAACAAGGTGGCCCCACGCCATCAATCAAAATAGGCATCCTCACTCGGAATGACGCGTAACGAAGATTGTGAAATTTTTTTAGGATTCTTTGTAAATTTATAATTGTTGAAATACTTGGATATTTATTAGATGTTATATAATATTTTAAATTGGTAATCTTTACTGAACATTGTGTAAAAAAATAAAGCGTTGTATAGAAAGTCGATTACATTAATTATCAAAGGAAAATTGATATTTTAATTTTGTAATAAATGATGTTATTCGACAGGATTCCAATGAAATTTAAAATCAGAGATTACATATTTTTGGTTCAATTATATTATATGTATACTTTTTGAATATCTTTGAATAATAGAGAACAATTATTAATTATTTGCTGCGTACATATCTATTTCACCCTTTGCTTCTTTATTATGAAATATATTACGATAGTCTTAGTTTGATATTATTTGATTTAAACTTTATCGATATTTGCTTCATTCTGTCAAAGGAAAACTGACCTTTGTCCAGATTTCTAAGACGTGGTATGAAAAATAGAGAATAGGTATGCTAAGAACATTCAGGTTTCTACTACTGGTAAAAATTTTACCCTTTCAATGGTTTAACATTTTCATTCATAACTGGTTGTGAAATATTAAAATGTTTTACATAAGTTGCCCCGATTTTTTTTAAACATGGCCCGTAATTATTTTTCATGTGAAAGTAAAATCCTCACGGGTTTAAAAAATTATTTTGCACAAATTACCCTCTTCCAAAAAAAATTTGCAGCTCAGAACAATTTGTTTTTTGGGCCAAGCAGATCTCCAATAATATTAGAAATTAACGATTTACTAGAAATAATTTCATAGCCAGGATTTCACAAACTGCTCAAAGTGAAATTTTTTTGAGATATTTGATCAAATCTTACCTGAAATTATAAATCTTTTAGAAGTAAATATTTTGTGATTTATACGTATAAAAGATTTTTCATGATGAAATCACAAATTTTTTAAAAACAATTTTGTTATTGAAAGATGTTTGCTAAACTTTGTTTACAAATATTTTTTTTGAGAATCATATTATTTCTATTTTATAATAATTGGCTTATTAGCAAAACTTTGCGTTTGTTTCATTATAAATGATGTAAGTTTTTTTATTAGCAGCAAATTAATAAAGGTAATTTATGGAAGATCATGTTATTTACCTAGAAAAGATGACATTTTTTAAAATTCTTACTTAAGAATAGTGTTGTTAAACGGCTCGGTTTGAGCCGATTTTTAAAAACGGCCAACTCAATATTTCCTTCGCAAAGCCTCAAGATTTTGCTTGTAGAAGGAACAAAGGTTTGAACATCTATTAGCTAAATCTCATGGCTTAGGCAATATTTTTCTAGCTAAAATATTGAGTTAGCCATTTTTAAAAATAGGCTCAAAACGAGTCGTTTAACAACACTACTTAAGAATACATCTCATTTATTTTAAAACTAATATATGGTTTTTGCCTTATTTATGAGAATTAAGAGGAATAATGAAGTGTTTCAAATAATCACTTGTAATTCCCTCTTAGAATTTCTTATTGTTTTTGTTCATTAGGAATAGGGACTCGTTCCTCTTCCAGAACTTATTGATATTCATTTGCTTAATTGATTTAAACATTTTAGCATTGGCCACCGTGATTCTCCAAAACAGTAAAGATTAGATAACTTTTTGTTCTTTATTTGCTTGAAAGATAAAAATGATAATATCTTCTTTTTTAAAGTCAAAAGTTTTTTCAATTGGTAAAAGTCATATATCAGTATATAAAATTATCATTCACTTATGGATTTACTAATAAAAATAAAGTCGAGTAAAAAATCGTAAATAATTCTGATATTCAATTCTTATGATCTTCCAACGTGATGATCGGAATAATTGGTTTGGGAGTTTCCAATACTTGAATATGAGATCTAGATTGATTTTCCACTTCTTTTCAAATTGTATTAATTTTTTATAAAAAAATGTTAATTAATATTAAGAACTCTAAAAATTGAATTGAAAACCCCATCAAAGTTATCAAAATTTTGAAAAAAACAGTCTTGAATATAACCCAAAAATAAATTATATCTAAAAATAAAACAAACACTTTTTTAAAATTTTATCCCATCCTATGAGATCTAGATTGATTTTCCACTTCTTTTCAAATTGTATTAATTTTTTATAAAAAATATGTTAATTAATATTAAGAACTCTAAAAATTGAATTGAAAACCCCATCAAAGTTATCAAAATTTTGAAAAAAAACAGTCTTGAATATAACCCAAAAATAAAACAAACACTTTTTTAAAATTTTATCCCATCCTATGAGATCTAGATTGATTTTCCACTTCTTTTCAAATTGTATTAATTTTTTATAAAAAAATATGTTAATTAATATTAAGAATTCTAAAAATTGAATTGAAAACCCCATCAAAGTTATCAAAATTTTGAAAAAAAACAGTCTTGAATATAACCCAAAAATAAAACAAAAACTTTTTTAAAATTTTATCCCATCCTTAGTAATGAGTTAAAATTTAGTATTTTTGATTCGGTTATAAACAGGTTTGACGCCGTTTATAATTTTTTATGGAATTTGAGGAAAAGGTTGAAGAGTATATTATAAGGATATTTATCAGAGACCTACAGGCTGAGCTTTAAGTCCGAATACATGTGTCATATTTTATATTTTTTTAAATATGCCCGGGCCAAGTCAAATAAATTTCTTTACGAGCCAGGATGTATATTTAAAAACCAAATATTTTAAATCGCCATTATTAGCTATAAAGATTAAAAAGAAAATAATATATTTCAAAAAAAATCCGTGCAAATGGCTATTTCTTTTATTATTATAAAAAATATTTCATATAACAAGTTAGTCATCATCATTGAAAAAAGGTGGTTGATGAAACACCAAATGATGTCATATTCCAAAGAGTCCTAAGTTTGGCCCTGGCTATAGAACAAAAATATACTGAAATGTTTGAGAAGGAGGTATATCCAATTCATCACACCAATAACAATGGCATAAAACGAGATTTACAAAAGACAATATGAAAGGACCACGAATTAAGCATTTTAATAACAATATGGATATATCGAATGATATATAGCACAACAGTTTTAGGGCTAACAAACAGAAAGATGTTTACGATGTGATATTATGTATCCGAGGATTTTTTTGCCAGCTGCTCATGTTAATTGTAATACCTATCAATTTGGGATATTATGTCAGAGTATGCAACAGTAAAAAATTACCTACAATAACTTAGGAAAAAACAAGAACGACCATTGACTGATGATAAACAATATATGTGATGCTACATTTTCCCATTCTTTAGCTTGGTGTTATATTTCCTCGATCTCGATACATCGCTTAATCGATTTTCTTATACTGCGATTTCTGAAGGGGTATAGGATCGCCATGTTTTAATTCATAAAGAACAAACTTTCTCTGGAGTTGTAATGTCTTATCCATTATTGTCTAACTCGGCTACTTTTCTATTTTTACAAGTTCTAGTCCAATCAACTTTATTGTCAGAATCCGACCTATTAAAATCTTAGCCGAACCTCGCGTAGTGAAATATCTGTTTCAATGTCTTAATCGTTTTTTTCTGCTAAACCGTTGGTTTCCACCCTGAACCTTTAACGGAGCATTACATAATGCCAAAGGTTTGGTAGAGAAGAGGTCGCCCACATATTTCTATAAATCTACCACGAACAATAATGTATGGGATTAAGTATCGCACTTAAAACAATTGGACACCTATTGATTTTGGCAATAATTCGATCTCTGTTTTCCCGGAACCATATTCCTTATCACCACCCGTCAATGGGTTTCTCTTTCCCAAGTTATTGCATGCGTTTTATGACTGTTGCATACTCTGGCAAAATGTCCCAATTTGTGGCAGCTATTACAATAAACATGAGGAGCTGAATATATTACTACAGCGTAAACATTCGTTCTGTTTGTTATCCCTAAAACCGCACTGCTGTTTATCATTCGACGTATTAATATTGTTATTAAAATGATTAATCTGTGGTGTATTCATATTATCTTTTATAAATCTCGTTTTATGCAAAATAATTGTTATTAATTTTATGAATTGGATGTGTCCCATTCCCAGATACTTCAGCATCAACTCGTTCCATGGCCGGGGCCCAACTCAGGACTCTTTTGAATGTGACATCATTTAGTCTTTCAACTTTTTCAGGGCAACGCTTATGCACCTTTTTTCCAATGCTGGCATACCTGTCTCCGCAATGAACTGATCACAAAGTCGTCTATCCACTTCAATTTTAATGAACATTCCTGAGTCAATTTTAACAGAGAAGTAAAGTATACCCCCCCCCCCCATTTTTGATTCCAAATAAAAAAAGGTTGTACATGATTTCTTCAATTCTATGTAATCAAGGAATGATACCTCTAGAAGGCGGATTTTTTAAACTTTGTATGATTTTTTAATCTAATGTATGCCAGAATAATTTTTTCCTTTAGGATGTTGATAGCTGATATCCCCTATAAGCTAGATACATTATTATTCGAGTGTTCTTAATATTATCACTCTTATTACCGATAATCGTGATAGGTGTAGGGTAGAAATGTTTGTCCATAAATAAAAGAATGAAAATTTTCGATGCCAAACAGCACCCTTGCTTCTTTATCAATCGCTGCATAATGCTTCTCAGGTACAGTATAGTTCAGGATGCAAAACTTAGGAGCCTGCTTGATCCATTAAGTAGTTGGTTTAATAAAAATTCACCAAATCCTGTATTGGAAGTAGTGTTGTAAAACGGCTAAGCCGAGTCGACTTAGCTGCGACTCGAGCCTAGTTTCTAGTCGATAAAACGACTTTGACTCGAGTCGACTAAATGAGCCGCATTGGTCGGCTCACTTAGTCGGCTCGTTTATTCGAATCGTTGGGTCTGCTCAATTTTTTATTTTTTTATAAAATCTGGTAAATTGCTAAATTTTGGGAAAATGATTAATGTGAACAAAATTATAATAAAAATATGTTGTTTTAGTTTTTCGTATTTTTTTCGCATAAATGGGTTAAAATTATTGCTAACATGTTTAAATAAAATTTTAGTGAAGATGTACCCTAGATAAGTGACAATTGTCATAATAGTTGTTTTTAAAGGTTTTCTAATTTTTTTGACGTAAATGGGCTAAAATAAGGATTGCTAACATGTTTAAATAAAAATTTAGTGAAGATGTACAGTAGATAAGTGACAATTGTCATAATCGTTGTTTTTGAAGTTTTTCGAATTTTTTTGACGTAAATGGGCTAAAATAAGCATTGCTAACATGTTTAAATAAAATTTTAGTGAAGATGTACCCTTGATAAGTGACAATTGTCATAATCGTTGTTTTTAAAGTTTTTCGAATTTTTTTGACGTAAATGGGTTAAATAAGCATTGCTAACATGTTTAAACAAAAATCTAGTGAAGATGTACAGTAGATAAGTGACAATTGTCATAATCGTTGTTTTTAAAGTTTTTCGAATTTTTTTGACGTAAGAATTGCTAACATATTTAAATAAAATTTTAGTGAAGATGTACCTAGCTAGATACAGGGTTTCCCATTCAAAATAAGAGTCATATTTTTTTAATTTTTTGTCAATTTTTCTTAAACTTTTATTTATTTTAGTTATTCCTTTTAATTTATTTCTAAATTTTTGCCATTTCTTTCCGTTTTTTTCTTACTGTATGTTTTCTCAATTTATTTCTAACCTTTTGCAATTTTCTTTACTTTTATTTTTCTTACTATATCTTCTCTCAATTTATTTTTCTTCAATTTATAAATTTAGGTCCATTTTTTTAACAATTTATGTTTTTTTCCATCATACATACAGATATAATATTCTTTTTATGATTTATACAATTTCTTGTTGGGACTGTGATGATTGTACAACTGAATATAAATAACTCGAATTAAAATCCATGAAAATTTACTTAAAAAAAATTAATTTTATCTAGTCTGTCTTCCCTATTGTTTTAAATAATAAAAATTTTCTAATGCGTTTTAAAAATAAGAATTTAAAAATGATTATATTTTATTAATTTAAATATCGTTTGGTATTACAGTTAAGGTAAACCCAACGATTAATTTATAATTTAGCAATTGTAATTATATTGTCTGCAAAAAACATTAAATATAATTTTAAAAAATAATTATCAAAAATGAGAAGAAAAAATAGATAAATGCTCAAAAAAATAAAGATTAAAAATGACCAGATTGAAAAGGTTAAAAATGTATGCAAAAGTTTAAAATGTATTAAATCATAAAAAGAATATTATATCCATGAAAAAAAACGTAAATTGCTAAAAAATGGACCTAAATTTATAAATTGAAGAAAAATAAATTGAGAGAAGATATAGTAAGAAAAATAAAAGTAAAGAAAATCGCAAAAGGTTAGAAATAAATTGAGAAAAGATACAGTAAAGAAAAAAACGTAAAGAAATCGCAAAATTTAGAAATAAATTAACAAGGAATAACTGAAATAAATAAAAGTTTAAGAAATATTGACAAAAAATTAAAAAAATATTATGATTTTCTTATTTTGAATGGGAAACCCTGTATCTAAAGTACATATTCACTAAAATTTTATTTAAACATGTTAGCAATGCTTATTTTAGCCCATTTACGTCAAAAAAATTCGAAAAACTTTGAAAACAACGATTATGACAATTGTCACTTATCTAGGTACTCTTCACTAAATTTTATTTAAACATGTTAGCAATGCTTATTTTAGCCCATTTACGTCAAAAAAGTTCGAAAAACTTTGAAAAACAACGATTATGACAATTGTCACTTATCTACGGTTACATCTTCACTAAAATTTTATTTAAACATGTTAGCAATGCTTATTTTAGCCCATTTACGTCAAAAAAATTCGAAAAACTTTAAAAACAACGATTATGACAATTGTCACTTATCTACTGTACATCTTCACTAGATTTTTATTTAAACATGTTAGCAATGCTTATTTTAGCCCATTTACGTCAAAAAAATTCGAAAAACCTTAAAAACAACGATTATGACAATTGTCACTTATCTACTGTACATTTTCACTAGATTTTTATTTAAACATGTTAGCAATGCTTATTTTAGCCCATTTACGTCAAAAAAATTCGAAAACCTTTAAAAACAACGATTATGACAATTGTCACTTATCTACGGTACATCTTCACTAAAATTTTATTTAAACATGTTAGCAATGCTTATTTTAGCCCATTTACGTCAAAAAAATTCGAAAAACTTTAAAAACAACGATTATGACAATTGTCACTTATCTAGGGTACATCTTCACTAAAATTTTATTTAAACATGTTAGCAATGCTTATTTTAGCCCATTTACGTCAAAAAAATTCGAAAAACATTAAAAACAACGATTATGACAATTGTCACTTATCGACTGTACATCTTCACTAGATTTTTATTTAAACATGCTAGCAATGCTTATTTTAGCCCATTTACGTCAAAAAAATTCGAAAAACCTTAAAAACAACGATTATGACAATTGTCACTTATCTACTGTACATTTTCACTAGATTTTTATTTAAACATGTTAGCAATGCTTATTTTAGCCCATTTACGTCAAAAAAATTCGAAAAACTTTAAAAACAACGATTTTGACAATTGTCACTTATCTAGGGTACATCTTCACTAAAATTTTATTTAAACATGTTAGCAATGCTTATTTTAGCCCATTTACGTCAAAAAAATTCGAAAAACTTTGAAAAAAACGATTATGACAATTGTCACTTATCGACTGTACATCTTCACTAGATTTTTATTTAAACATGTTAGCAATGCTTATTTTAGCCCATTTACGTCAAAAAAATTCAAAAAACCTTAAAAACAACGATTATGACAATTGTCACTTATCTACTGTACATCTTTACTAAATTTTTATTTAAACAGGTTAGCAATTCTTATTTTAGCCCAATTACGTCAAAAAAATTCGAAAAACTTTAAAAACAACGATTATGACAATTGTCACTTATCTAGGGTACATCTTCACTAAATTTTTATTTAAACATGTTAGCAATGCTTATTTTAGCCCATTTACGTCAAAAAAATTCGAAAAACTTTAAAAACAACGATTATGACAATAGTCATATCAAGGGTACATCTTCACTAAAATTTTGTTTAAACATGTCAGCAATACTTATTTTAGCCCATTTATGCCAAAAAAATACGAAAAACTAAAACAACATATTCTTATTATAATTTTGTTCACATTAATCATTTTCCCAAAATTTAGCAATTTACCAGATTTTATAAAAAAACAAAAAAATTGAGCAGACCCAACTAGCTGACTAAGTGAGCCGACTACATGCGCCGACTAATCGTAAGAACTCGACTTTTAACAACACTAATTGGAAGCATCTGTCTAGAATTACTATAAATCACATGAAGAAGAAATTAATGTTTGCACCGCTAATACAAACTTTTTACTGTAGTGAATGCATTTTGCTAATTTCCTGTTCACGTTACATTTGAGCTGATTAGACGATGTAAAGGCACAAAGATAATGTACAAGTTTGGTAGTTTATGGTAATTGACTAAACACAGGAATGCTCTTAACTGATAAATATTTGTCGATGCTGGTGCTATTTAAAAAATAATAATAAATCGAAAGTGCACCTTTTGTTTTTCAATGCTAATATTATCATTTATTTTGGTTTAATTTGTCTTATTTCTGAATATGTTCCTTTTATAATGAAAAATAATCTGATACATAAGTGCACGTGGCCCCTTATAAAAAATTAACGTGCCCTTTCCATATATTGATTTACTATATAATTGCGATATGATATTGATACCAAGAAAATTGTAATTAAAAATATTTACCGAATAATATTTGACCTATATGCTATATAATAAAAAGGTTTGATAAAAAAAATATATTATAAAAATCCATAACGTACGAAATATCTTCTCAAACTTTCCTTTGAGTATCTATGTCCCCAAATGTTAGGTAGCTAATCGTTATAGTTAACAAAAAAATATCAAAATACACCTGATATCTCGATTACTTCTCTATGTCCCCAAGTGTTAGGTAGCTAATCGTTATAATTAACAAAAAAAATATTAAAATATAATTCCAGAAATTATAGCAAGGCGCTATAAGGAAATACTTTTAATGCGAATAAAGTTGTAACGTGTATTTCTTTACATTATTTATACTTCGCTTTATTTAAACCGAGTCAAACCTGTATCTTCTTTTTATAGGGTTCAGGTTCAAGGATGAATTAAAAATCATCAAGTTTTGGGTTTAAACCCTACATTTTAAAAAGAACCTTTAAAAGAATTTATGTAATGATAAAATAATAAGATTAAAATAAAAATAAAAATGGTAAATTACTTTTACGACGTCTAAAAGGGGTGCTAAAATGTAAATGAGTCGAAGAGGATAATTGAAGAAGACATTGTGCATCATAATCTATATTGGCGGATAACTCCCTTAGCTTGCTAAGATATATGGAGCGTAGGTTTTTAATGATATCAGGAAAAAGTAGGTCCTTTCCGGAGAAAGGTAAATGCCGATATTTCATTTTAGAATAACTATTTTTCCCCGTTTTTTTTGAATAAAAAATAAAAAGAATAATTAATATTATAAATATTTTTATTACAATTAATGTGGATTATGGTGAGAGGTCATATAAATGCAAATATATTTTATGAATAAAACATTTTTAAAAAAAGTGTACATTCATAATAACAATTTAACCTATTTAAAAGAAGAATAAAAATAAGAATTAATATACCCTTTACCATTTGCTTAGATATTCAGGGCTGGCGTAGGTTGGGGCATCAAATAAATCACTAATTATAGGCCAATCTATCTTGGAATCGTATTTTATTGATCGTTCCTTACCAACACTTTGTAAAATGTTAATTAAGCGAAATTTAATTGCAGCATATTTAAATAGGGAGGGTCTAGTACGTTGATTACTTTTACTGGGATCCTCTATATAAAAAAAAGAAATTTTATTGTATACATATAAAATAACATAATTTTTATCAGATAAATAGAAATTAGGTTAAGGAAACCTGTATTTGGAGGGTTGGGTGTATTCAGCCAGGATCCTATAACACTTGGTATGGATCAATTGTGTATTGAAATCAGTACAATTTGCACAGCCTGGTTCAAAAATTTCAGGCCCGGCCCGGATTTTTTCAAAATACATTACATTTATTTTTGATTTTAATAGCTAATAATGGCGATTTCAAATATTTGGTTTGGGTATATTTTAAAATATTAAAATATGGCTCGGCCATGATTGAAATCTTGTGGGAAGGTAGTACGTGAACATACGTAGCCCGTATCCACTTTATATTTGAGTAATCGGGAGGGGGGGGGGGGTGTTCTGGAGGCCACCGTACTCAGCTCATCTTGATTTAGTGTGTTGTGATTGCATTATTTTGAATTTATTAAAGATCTTGTATATATAAATTTGAATATTTATGGAAAATAGTTTTTTTAGAATTTATGTAAAATTTGAATATGTATATTGTTAGTAATACGAGTATTATATTATGTAAATAATGATACTATATATATGGTTTTATATAGAAAGAAAATTGGTTTATTATAAAAATAATTTTGGTTTATATAAATTTTTGAATAATGATTTAAAGTTGATTATAATGAGACGAGATTTATTATGTTATAATCGGGTGATGTTAATTTTATATAAAAGACACAATTTTTATAATTCAAGGGACTTTAGAATTTTTTTACTTTTACATATAATTTTTAATTTTTACTTTTATTTTATATTTATTTTATATTAATTTTATTTTTCTTTTATTTTGATTATGTTTTCACTTTATATTTAATTATTAGTATTTAATAAAGATTTAGTATTATATTTTAGTATTTAATTGTATTTTTATTTTATTTTTTTTAGGTTCCAACTTTTCTCAATATGACAACTTTTCCATATGTTGTGACATAGTGAACAAGTCAAAAAATTTCAATTTCTGTAATAAAAAAAAGAAGTTTGAAAAATGAGAACTAACGATGCTAGTTTCAGATCCTTCCTGCGAATGCAACCCAACTTGGAATTTCGCAGATATTTAGAGGTGGAGGTTCCTCTTCGTAAAATCTACCCCTCCGATAGGACAACTAAAAAAATGTGATTGCTAGAAAGCCAGAATTGAAATAATACTTGAATAATAAACATTTTCTTCTAAAAAAAAGAATTATTTTACATGATCAGTTTTTACAAAATATATAAATAGCGGTTTTTACCATTTCGATGCAAAGACTTAAATTGACAAGCAGGAACATAGAGCTTGGCCCAATCTTTGTCAGCAGTCAGCAAAATAAATTTGAACTTACCTGCCTGATCCAACTAAACTAATAATGTAAGCATAGGTAAATATCGAGGAATTTGTCCTGACCTGAAAATGATTTATTTTATCTGGGAATATTCCCCATTTCATTTTATACGGAAACAAAACATAATTTATAACTTTACTCAAATACAGTATCGCAAAATGACTTAGAAAACATTAAGCGTAATTAAACAAAAGCAAAAAATTTTGCTGTCTGCATTTTCATTTTGCAGCAAATCTTTTGGCCGCAGGTTTGGCAAAATCTTATCTATTTACCTGAACTTTCAACTGCCTTTACCAATCTATATCAGTAACAAATTGGAAGAGAAGAATCATCTCCCCGGTGGACATGATGTTACAGGAACGACAAAATAATCTGCCATTTCTGATAGATTCTTTAAAAAAGATGAAGGTTTCTACTACAAAATGGGATAGTAAATAAAAGTTGATTTACATCCAATCCACTCATGGAAAGAATACTCTTGCCTAAATATTTTGTCTAATTTTGTATTTTAAAAATGAAAAGTACCGAAATCGATATGATACTACCATTTTCTTCTACGTAATTTGACTCCATTATTCCCATAAATATCGTTTTTTTAAATATTCTCGATAGAAATGTTCCCTTTATGTGATCTCAAAATGGATAGGTTTAGCCTAGGATCAGATTGTTACTGTTATATACTCCATATTTAATTTATATAGAAATACCCACCAATCCTTTATTTAGCTTGAGGTAAACATCCATTATCAGGGTTGTAAGCAGTGGAGGGGGGAGGGGAAGGGGTAACTTTTTTTAGTCACCTAGAGCCCTACAGGATAGTATGAACTAGGCCAGCGGTAATATCATCAATAAATATAGGTCTAACCTGTAGCCCGAAAAATATTAATATTATATTTCCTATTCCTAACATATTCCTTTTTTTGGCTAATTGAATATCGCAATTAAAAAATGAGAAAAGTTTTAAAAAAATAAGGTGAAAAATATTTACTGATCATTTTCATATCATACCTCGTAAAAATAGGAATAAAATGATTTCTTTCCTCCAGCTTTTTAACTAAAGCCTTGAGCCGGCCTAGATCTAAAAAATTTCTAGCAGGCTGTGGGCAAACCTGGGCCAAATAATTTCGATTTTGAAGTCCCTAGTCAGCATATATAGCCATTATTTATTTAATATGCTAATTAGAGGGGGGGCTCAGTATAATGGGCTTGGGGAGTCTAGAAAGCGAAGTGTTAGCAATGAGTATTGTATTTTATAATCTGTGATTGCAAATTTTTCTAACAACAATTAAATTACGAAAGTTACGTATTTTTCAAAAGCAAAAATTTGAATTCGTTGCAAAAAATACAGATTATTTAAATTTTACATTCACCAAATATATATTCTTCTGCAAATAATAATTTTCTACCTAAATAATTAAAAACATGGCTGAGAAACCTGAAAATCTTAATGATTTTTGGCTGATCTGAACTATTTTTAATTTAGGGTTCCGAGTTGAAGATATTTTCATTTATTAATTAAAAACTCTCCCTTTTTTTATAAAAATATAGTCTTGGGTAAATATTAATCTCGTGATATTATATATTTTATTTTTAAAATAATTTAAGCCCTGAATCCGAACAAAAAATGATTCACAGCCATCATTAAAACAGCAATAGAAATAGATACTCCTCATATTTATTTTAAACAGTGGCAAATTTTTTTTTAAATAACTAAGTATAAACTACAAAAAAACTTATAAAAAATATTTTTCATAAAATATTCGTGAAATATTAAAAAGAAATTCATTCCAATTCCGACTCAAATATAAAAAAAAAAATTATCTGATTCAAATTTAATTTAAAATGTAAAATATCCGTTTATTATTCTAATCCAATTCAAAGATGGAACATTACTTATGGTTAAATATCAGCCTTACATGATCAGTTTAATTTCATCTTGAATATGTGTCTTTAAAGGTATGATTTTGGTTAGGAGTAGGATCAGATTACTATTATATAAAAAATTGTGGGCTAAATTATGTGTCCATATGTTTTTTTTTAAATTTGAGATAAATATTAATTATTTTTTAGAGCAATAAAATTTAGATACGAAACAAATAGAAATAATTTTATGGTAATACATTCGCTATAATATTTTTGTAGTAATCGTAATTCAACCGTAATACTTGTATCTGAGATACTAGATCCTTTTATATCTTGCAGGGATGTGGCCATTCGACAAAAAACAGGGTCCGGGTTCAGAGATAAAAATTTTAAAAAGGTTCGGATCAGGGTTTGGAGTGCATAAAGAAATATCGACTAAATATTAGTAAAATTACATTTATTTAATTATTTTAATTCTACTACATATAAACATAATTTATTAGCAAAAAAATTAAAATTAATTTAATTTATATTTTAATTTTAAATGTTTTATTCAATCGCAATGCATTTCAAGGAACTTAATTGCTTGTGTATATTAAATAAATTGAATATCTAGAAAAAATGTATTTTGATGATTGTATGATTTTGTCCCAATATTTTAATTTCTAAAAATGATATAAAAACAAGATAAGCAATGTATTCCTACTTAGAGCATATGGATTTTCCAAAATAATAAAAAATATTCAACAAAATGAAGACAAAAAACTGAAATTTTTTTGAAAATGTTAAGGTTTTTTATAGTTTTCATGAATTTTTTATATACTCTCCACTTTGAAAAGGAGTTCGAATTTAGCAAGAACATACGGGTTCAGAGGGTTCGGATTCATATCCCTGGTATCTTGTACTGATATCTTGATATTTTTAATACGATACTTATATTTATATCTAAGATCTTTTTTTTACAAAAATCTACATCTGTAACTAAATTCTTTTTGTACTCCTGGTAATAATCGTATAGCATTCTTGAAAATGTGTTTATGCTATATGTGAAAATATCTTTTTCGCGGTAAAGTATGTGAAAAAATTTGGCCAGTAAGGAAACTGGATAGTGGCTACTGCAAAGTAGAAAAAAAACATAATTCATTACAAGTTCTATTAAAAGGTAAACTTTTGGCTTGAGTCATTTTCAAAGTTTTATCGCAGCTTTCAAGGTTGTCACACTGGATATCACTTATTTCAATTTGAATCCTTTTTGACGTAGGAGTTCCGTGGCAGTTTTTGTCCTTTAAGATATCAATACTTGGGATCTGTACCTTCGAAGTTGTGGAATGTGGAATGCTATCGGTGTTTGTGTTGTTTTGCTGCAATTTGCTTATATATTTCTCCCTTAAGACATTAACCCTTGCAAGCGATTGGAAAATAATTTTTTTATAAATGATATTTTTTTCTTAGATATAAAAAATTTATTATATTTAGAAGAAAAAAAATTATTAGAAGGTTTTTGGTGATAAACAACATATTGTGAAAAATTAAGTTGGATGGGAGGGGGGGGGGGTAATTGTTAAGACAAAAGGCGTATATTATAATATGCTATACTGACAGTGGTAATAATAAGACGAAATCATCTGATCAGTCATCCTCATAACAGTTGATAATATAAATCAAGCAATAAGGCTTTGCAAGTTTACTTTAAAATATTAAAATTTATAGAGCAACATGCCTAATTTATTTCTCATTTCGATTACTCCACCTAGTTGCGAATTATACTATCTACCGCAATTAGTATCGGAAAATTATTCGATAGTCCATTCGAAATTTATACGAATAATATTTAAAAAATTTGGAGAATAAATTTAAATTATTCTTAAATGCAAATATTCGTAGTTAAAAAATTTTTAAAATTAAACCCTGTAATTAAATATTTTTTTTAATGGCATTTGCGATCTTGATTTTATGATTGTGTTAGTAAATTTTTTAAAATTTCCTAGAACCAAATTAAAATTAATATTTACAAATGAGAAGATTATGCAATGAGGAGAGGAAATAATAAGGCTCTTCTATAGTGATGCAAAATCGCTGCATTTGAGCCGATTTTTTAAAACGGCTAATTCAATATTTTAGTCCGAAAAAATATTGCATAAGCTTAGAGATTTCGCTAGGATGTCCAAACCTATGCCATCTATGAGCAAAATCTTCAGGCTTGCGTAATATTTTCCTGTAGTTAACCATTTTAAAAAATCGGCTCAAATGGAATAATTTTGCATCACTACTCTTTTACATATTGTGAGCGTCTATTTTTTGTAGGGGAGTATTATATTGTTCTATATCCACTTTTTTTGCAAATTACTTTTTATTTAAAATAATGAAATCTTCATTACTATATTACTTATATGACCGGAAATAAAAAATGTTAAAATATAATTAAGGATAACTTTTATTTGTAATTTGAGAGTGTTGTTAAACGGTTCGTTTTGAGCCGATTTTTAAAAAGGCTAACTCATTATTTCATCCAGTAAAATATTATGCAAGCCTGAATATTTTGCTCATCGAAGGAACAATGGTCTATACATATATTATCAAAATCTCGAGACTTAGCCAATATTTTTTGGCTAAAATATTGAGTTAGCCTTTTAAAAAATCCTTTTTATTTAAAATAATGAAATCTTCATTACTATATTACTTATATGACCGGAAATAAAAAATGTTAAAATATAATTAAGGATAACTTTTATTTGTAATTTGAGAGTGTTGTTAAACGGTTCGTTTTGAGCCGATTTTTAAAAAGGCTAACTCATTATTTCATCCAGTAAAATATTATGCAAGCCTGAATATTTTGCTCATCGAAGGAACAATGGTCTATACATATATTATCAAAATCTCGAGACTTAGCCAATATTTTTTGGCTAAAATATTGAGTTAGCCTTTTAAAAAATCCTTTTTATTTAAAATAATGAAATCTTCATTACTATATTACTTATATGACCGGAAATAAAAAATGTTAAAATATAATTAAGGATAACTTTTATTTGTAATTTGAGAGTGTTGTTAAACGGTTCGTTTTGAGCCGATTTTTAAAAAGGCTAACTCATTATTTCATCCAGTAAAATATTATGCAAGCCTGAATATTTTGCTCATCGAAGGAACAATGGTCTATACATATATTATCAAAATCTCGAGACTTAGCCAATATTTTTTGGCTAAAATATTAAGTTAGCCTTTTAAAAAATCGGCTCAAAATGAGTTGTTTAACAACACTAAATTTTTGCAATGTATAAGTTTATATAAGAAATATTTTTTAAAAAAACTTCCATTAAATATACTAATGCTTTATTAAATTTTTACCAATAATGTTCGAGTTCGATAGAGTTTTTTGTAAGTAACTCCTGATAGCTTCCCTCTTTACTATCTAAATAACGCATAACTTCGACCCAAGGGAGAGTGAGATTTTTAAGGAGAGAATCCAACTGATCTATGCCTATCTTCTGTGACAGTTCGTGAACATTTAAAGACATGCAATTCGTGAAATAGGATTCTATACAGTAAAGCATTCGTTTTTCAGTCGCCCGCCCCCAATAATTATCAGCATCTTGCCGGATTATTTTAATGGGTGTGACATCGTCGCGATATTCGCTTTTGGGGGTCAATTTTATAGAATTATGGCCGCTGCATGTTTCAAAGGATTGGGAGCTAGGATTAGAAACTTTCTCGATTGTACTTTCAATAGATGTTTGATATTTTAATATGTTTTGAAGCTTTGCGGTTCCTTTCTTACTATTCTTCTTAATAGTTTTTAAGGTAGTGTTTTCAGCTTCTTCTATTGAGGATCTTTCATTACTATTAGATGTTGTACAGATAATTTCTGGATATGACAATTGTGATGTTTGAGTTGATAACGAAAGTTTATTAGAAGACATACCAGCTATTGCTTTATATATTTAAAATACTAAATGTTTAGTTATTGAAATACTTATTCTTTTTATCAAAGGAATAAATGTCATTTATATATTATTAAACCAAACGGAACACGTTTTAATTTTAGTTATGGTTTTCTAGCGGTTCAATTTTTTTTCCTACTTTTTAACTTTTCAGTACACTAGTTTTGTTGCGTTCCAAGTACTCAGATAAAAATTTTATAGAAGCACCCTCCCCCCATATTGGTACGTTATTAATTTCTATTCAAATTATGAAGAATTAAGTGGGCTGTGCTATATTAAATATCGAATCGGGCCGATAATTTTTTTTATAGGATTATTTAAATAATCAGTTTATTTTATAATATTTTTAAAAAAATTTAAATATAGATAGCCAAAAATTGGAGGTTATTTTTTTGTTATATATCTACAATAGGAAAAGGATTTAAAATATATGTAATCAGTCACACATTCAACTTAACGTTGTTAAAACTAGATTTGGCCAATTTAAAAAAAGACTAACTTAGGGTTTTAGCCAAGGGTACATCAGGAGCAATTGTTAAGTATGGGCCAAAACTTTTTTAAAAAATCTGTCCAGCATGGCCCAGTCATGAACAGATTTTTTTTAATTGTCCCAAAAAGCCTGCCAAAATAAAAACTATTTTGTCCACCCAGTCTGATTTTATTTATTGATTTAAATCAATCTTTATTTTAGTTTTTTAACTATTAGGGAAGATGTGGCATAAATTGCCATGTTTGAAGACTGGCCAGCACCCTTTCTTGTAATCTATTGGATCAATTTCTCTCAAAATTAGTTAATATGTACTTTGTCTAAGTTCATTTATTGAATAGAGCAATCCAATAAAAAAATATTTTAAATAAACTGTTTTTAGTACCTCTTTCTAGAAAAATCATGTTATACATTTTTTTTAGTGAAAAATTTACTCATTTAAATTGCTGATATTTTATATAAATATTATAGGCATTAAGCATTATTCACAAAAATAATTAGAGCTTATTCTTTAATATACATAAATTAATGAAAATAGAATGGTGAGTATATGTATTGACTGGACAAAATTCCACATTCATATTGAAATGAAAATTGCTTAAAACAACATTTGATGCAAAGATAAACTAATTTGCAATTGATGATATATATTAATAAAAATTCCACACTATCAGTATTGATTAAATTTAATATTCCTAGAACAAATTTAAGAAGCAATGTAAAAATACAAGACTTTGCAATATCTAAATATGGATTAGAATTTAAATAGATTATTTATATTTTCCAAACCTCAGGAGGAAATTTTAAAAGATTATATAATTCAAGACAAGCTAGCAAATCATTCATGGGGTTTAGCATAAAATAGTTAAAACATATAAATATGTTATGTTAAAGCATTTTTTAATGGTATTATTTATATTTTAGAATTACCTGTTAAATAATTAGTTATCACTTATCATAGATTTAATTATATAAATTTTTATTATGTTAAAAATCATTTATTTTTTGATAATATTTGCACATGATTTAGTAAAAATATGAGTTAGTTTCCTATATCTAAGAAGAATAATGATGAGTGGCTTTTCATTATATATAAGAAGAAATATTCGAAGAGCAAGAAATGGAAAGAGTGAATTAAATGTATTCATTGTAAAGAAATGGCTCATGCTAAATGTTTTAGGCATAATGATTTATTTGTTTATTATTTACATAAATAAATATATTATAATTTCCTCATTTATAAATGATTTGACTCTCATGATTGTTGTGTAATCATAACAATTGCCTAATAAAGTTTATTAAGCATCATAAATTTTTAAATTGATTAATGATTAAATTAATGAAATACTCATTTTAACATGTGGAAAATTAAGATAACAATTAAATAATTAAATAGATAAGTGGTTAATTTTATATTAAAATAAGAATGTGTAATATACAAATAATTGAGGTAATAATTTATAAACTATTATCATTAAATATGAATTTGATAATAATTTGAGATGTTAATATTAATTAAATTAGTGCATGATTAGGTTTTTAAATAATGACAAATATTGACATGGGTCCTTTTACAGGTATTTATATTGTAATATTTTATAATTATAATAAAATTCTTATTATGGCCAGTAAATAAATATCATGTTTTGACTGGCTAGAAAAACAACTTTCAAATAACCTCATCTAGCTCAAAAACTAATAGATAGAGCCTTGCTTCAAATTTTATAAGGAATAAAAATTGGGTTACACATTGATACTAAATTTTCTTGGTTAAACATAATTTTTAATCCCTTATTTGAAAATAGCAAAATCATGGTCATTCATACCAAATCTCCCCTACATGTTTTTAAACTTTATCAACAAATATATTTCAAATCATTCCACATTTTACTCCTACCTTGGGCATACATTCACATGTACCCCATATTCTTTATGTTATATTGAAAAAATTCGCATCCAAAATATTAATTTTTTTAGGCTGTCTATTTTATTTATTAATTTAATATGAAGGATTCTGTAAAAAAATTATTCAATTTTATACAAAGTTTGAAATGCTCGTCAAAAAAAAGCTTCCCAGATTTTTGTTCAAAATATTTTAAAATCTTCATAATTTTTTTGTAAAAAATCTCGTGGAAAATCTTTTGGGATTAAATCTCTTAAGATTTTTTTGATCATTATTATGAGAAGATTGCTCAAAGATTTTTTTTGAAATTTATTAATTATTCAATAAAATAATTTGATGTAAATATTTGTTTTAATATTAAATATATATTTGAATTTTTATTTTTATAAATGCATTTATTTTTAAAGGTTTTCTATATAATATTTTATGAGTTATTTTTAATGTAAATTTTTTCTATATAATTTTATTTAAAGTATATTATATATATTTTATTTTTTGAGGTATTTTTAAAGGTGATTTTTTTTTCTATATAATTATTTTTTAATATATATATTTTTATTAAAATTTTATTTTATGCGTTATTTTTGATGCTGTTTCCCAATTTAAAAATAGTGCATAAAAATATTATTTAAAAAAAATTTAATAAAAAAAATATAGAGAGAATATCAGCATTATTAAAAAATCACCATTAAAAACAATTCATTAAAATTAGGGCTGTGGCGATATTAAATATCGGATCGGATCTATACCTATATTTAGCGTTTCCTAAAAATATAGGATCGGGCCGATACCTGTAAAAACCCGATCCGATTTTTTTACTTTTCTTTTCTTTTTTTGTTATTTTATTTTATGTTATGTATATTTTTTTACATTATTATAATATTTTCTAAATAATTTTTTTAAATTTTATTTCTTTTTTAAAATAGATTTATAGTATTTTAAAAGTTTTTTTTTATAAAAATAGAAAGGAACACCCAAAGTTTTATTTATTTTAAATCTTTTTAAATAACGCCAATTTTTATATTTATATAAAAGAATATTTTAAATATGGTTGTCGTAAATTGCAATGTTTTTTTTAGTTGAAATGTCAATCATTTTAACTTTTTTAATTATTATTATTTTTTATCGTTTTTATGAAAAATGATTTTAATGTTCATTAATTTTTTGATATATGAAAATTATTTTATTTGTGCTCGAATTTAATAAAATTATTGTTTAAAGTGAATTAATTTTGGATATTAAAGAAATAAAAGATTATTTAAAAACCCTAAAGTATCACATTTTTCTTAGCTTGAGTACGTTTCTGATTCTTGCGATTTTTGACTTTCAGTAAGTTATTTTTATATTTAGATCTTGGCCAGTTTAGATTTTCTGATTAATTTTGATAGTTATTTAGTTTTTTTTTTGCCTTATCTTCATTGGTATATGAATTATGCAAATATTTTACAAAAGACAAAGATAATTTTGCAAAATGCGTTATCTGCGTAATCATCTGAGTCTGCCTTCAGTACGGCAGGAGATATAGATAGTCCATATAGTAGAAGCTTATTCCCATAAAATCTAGAGGCTCTCATATTTATTAAAAAAATCTAATATATTATAATTTTATATATTAAATATTACAATTTTATAATTCATACCAACATAAAATGGATATATTATTAAATATATATTTTTTTATTATAGTCTTAATTGTAGAAATAAAAAAATTAAATTAAATTCCTAATTGGATTTTTTGCATAAAAAATATTGATTTCTTAATTACATTTGGTTCAAACGGGAGTGATTAATAATCAGCAAAAATATCGGATCGGTATCGGATCGGGTGTGAAGCAATATCGGGAAATATCGGACCGGATCGGTGAAAAATATGTGGATCGGCACAGCCCTAATTAAAATATTATATTAAAAAATCACCTTTGAAAATAACTAAAAATAAAAATAACAGGCTGTGTCTTAAATGTTTTGAAAAAAACCTCAAAATTAATTAATTGCAAATTACTAAAAAACCCTTTTAAACAGGGCCTTATAAAAAAAATAAATATAAAGAAAAAAAACGAAAATAAAATACAAAAAATAACATATTTTAAAAATATAGTTATTTCATAAAAATTACCCAAATAAATATATTTTGAATAAATTTTTATTAATTTCTATATAATTCAAAAAAAAAAAATTTTTGTAAATGAAGAAAAATGATTTAGATCTTATTTTTATGTTAAAAATAGCTTATGTTATCATTTTTCTTCTAAATTTATTTATATTTTATACATTCTGGAAAAAGTCTTAAAAATTAACATTATAATATAAATATTCCATAAAATAATATAAAAATTAAAATTAAAAAAATATTTACATCAAATTATTTTATCTAAAAATAAATATAATAATAAACAAAAAAATAAAATAAATCTAAAATAAAATCTTTGAGTAATCTTCCCAAAAAAATTATCAAAATCTTAAGAGGTTTAATTTGAAGATTTTAGCAAAAAATCACAAAAGATATAATCCCATGGGATTTTTTAATATAAAAAATCTTAAAATTTTGATCTTCAAAGATTTCTTGTTCAAGATTTCAAAAAATCTTTGAAGATTTTTTTTTCAAACCATGATTTTATACCCAAAATAAAATATATATTGTGCCTAACCTAGTTTATTAAAAAGGGTTGCCAAGTCTACCATAATTGACTTACCACAATTTTTTTAAACTCAAAATCTACCACTCATCTGAACCACAACAATTTTACTACATTTTTGAAATTTCCAGATTTTTTTTTCAAACCATGATTTTATACCCAAAATAAAATATATATTGTGCCTAGCCTAGTTTATTAAAAAGGGTTGCTAAGTCTACCATAATTGACTTACCACAATTTTTTTAAAGTCAAAATCTACCACTCATCTGAACCACAACAATTTTACTACATTTTTGAAATTTCCAAAATTATTTAAAAAATCATGTTTTTATATAAAAATATTATGAATTATGCCCAAAAAAAGAAATTAAAATCAAGATATTCAATCTCTTACTAATCGTATTCTATATGTATGCTTTATCTGATAACCTAAAAAAGTATGGGTTTTTTTATAATTAATGGCATATCATATCCTCAAATTTGTATAAATTTAAAATGATAAAATTTTATTATGAAATCTACCACAATCAAATAATTTTTACCTGACAACCCTGTTCCTACATAAAAATAAAATAAAATAATTTTTCTAATATAAAAAAAAATCTATAAACAAATAAAATTTTAGTGCCTTGATTCCCTCAAAAATTTTTAAAAATATGAATTTTATCTCACAAAATTGATATATTATAATATTTAATACTGACCCAACTCAAAATTTTTTAGGCCCAATCCAGTTTAAATAAAAATTCAAAAAAATACCATCATTTATTTTTTATTTATAATTTATCATCCAATCTTCAAATATTTAAGGTTAACTTAAAGGTACATATTTTAAATATTAAAGCTCGATAATGTGATATAGCCATTTTAAAAGAGGGTTTAATTGACCCCATCTTAAGCTTTCATTATTTTTAACCTAATAACTTAATGGCTAACACCTTAGAAGTAGTATATTTGGTGAAATATTAATATAGAATATTCTCTGACCTAATTGTGCTTCAGGATGTTCCCTTCCTGCCAACATATCACTCTTGTTCAGCAAAGTAATAGATTGAGAGAGTGTATCATAGGGTAAAAATTGCAAAGAATTTTTGTAAAAGTTTTTAACAAGAAGTGCAGGTCTTCTTAAGGCTGCACTGATTAAAGGCCATTGATTACCCAAGATGCCAGTCATTTCAAATATATATTTGGCCTCAGCACTAGTTATATTTCCTTCTTTAAGTGAAGTATTTGCTATTATTAGTAATGATTTATCACATAATGACATAGAACATTTTTGCAGATTATAACCTAATTATTTTGAGATTATAAAAGGAATAAATATTTTTCTATTTATAGCTATCTAATTTCAGGGCAAGCTCTAGTTTTCATTAATATTTTATTATTATAGTAATATTTGTTTCAAAAAATTATTTTTGGCCTTTAGATTGCATCACCAGTAGACTTTGAGCTAGCCCTATATAAATCTGAATATATCAAAATATGATATACCTAATCTCAAATACATATTAGTCTCATTTTGAAATATATTGATTAACTTTAGCATGTCAATGTGTTTTAATTTGTCATAAATTATATTATGTTCTAATACGTGATCAAAATAAATAAAATCACAAGTAATTTTGTCATAAAAGATAGGTGGATATATAAAATTCTTGTAATATAAGCTATATGTTGATGACTGTTCATTAATGAAAGTTCCCCAATTCATTAATAGCAAAATTTTATCTTCGGAAGTCCAAGCTTTATTAATTATTAAAGTTTTTTTAAATAACTAAAATTATTTACCTCTAAAATCATCATCCCTAATGGTTGCTAATAAATTCACATTTTTATTCACATAATATTCTAGGAATATATGACATATATTTGGATTATGTAAAATATTACTCTTCTTTTGTAAATAATCAACAAAATTCATGTCTTAAATTAAATAACATTAAAAAGGCTATACAGTAACATTTTTTAAGTCATGATAAATATACAGGCACCAGAAAATTACGTGTCAGCTGTCTAAGTCATGTGAGTAGAGCAGAAGGTAATTTAAACTTGTTGTTCCCACAGCGTTGAGAGGGCCAATGCGCTTTATCACGTATAACGTAAACTTTAAAAATAAATAATCAGAATAAACATCAATTAATAGAGAATTCAATCTAGGCGCGTAACAATCTAAGAGGTAGGATGGGGCAAAGAAATTCCTTTCCATTTTTTAAATTTTTCGTTTATAATTAATATCATTTTAAGCTAGTGAAATATGCATATAAAAGTGAGCATAAATATAATAATAGCCCTTGAGCGAATTTTTATTAGAACTATATTGCATTATATAGTGATTTGATATTATTTCTTTTAAATGAGTGTTAGTTTAATTATTAAATAAATGCATATAAATTATATTTTCATCATGTAAAATCAGTTGCAATCAATTTTGTGTCAAAATGGAATATCAATCATAATCATTAGCGTCACTAGGGGGGGGGGGGTGTACAGGGGTTCAAGTCCCTTAAAAAATTTAAAAAGTCCCCTCAAAACTAACTTTGAATTTTTTCATACACCTAAAAAAAAAGATGTCAGTTAAAGATAAAGTGATAATTTTATATATTGTTAACTTAATATTATCTTAATAATATAATAATCGCAAAATTATACAACAAATTTAATATACTTTACATATAATATATTACCATTAGCAACACAAAATTGGTTTTTATACTAAATAATTAAAATTTAGTCTTTTAATTGCGAAAAATCGGATAAGTGCGAAAATATTAATTTTTCAGTTCCAACGCATAGGCATAGCCAGGGGGTGGCAAGGGGAAATTCCCCCCTCCTTCAGAAATTTATCACTTTTTGTGAATATCATTTTAAGCTAATAAAAAATACCCCCCATAATCCTCCCCTCACTCCCTGACCCTTAAAAATGTATGCATATATCTTTAACAATAATTTGAAATAAAGAATATAAAAGTTGATATTTTTTTATAAAACTATTCATCATAATTTATACATTTTGGAAAAAAGCATTTATGTATATATATATATAAAGTGAACCAAAAATGTTTTTTAAGAAATTGAATATAAGCCAAATAAAAGTCTTAAGAGAAAGATGAAATGAATTATAATTATTAATCATAAAATTACTAAATAATATAATATATCAAATATAATTTTTTATAAAGTGAGTAATTTTAAATTATTTACCTTAATAAAAGTAAAATATAATTATAAAACTATTGATAAAATCATAAATTAAATCAAAAAATTAAAGCACAATACAAACAGTGGAATATTATATGTCGTAAATTTACGTATCAGATAAATTCAGAGAAATTTTTATCGCGAATGTCGTTTATCGCGATAAGTTTTTATAGCGAAGGTAAAATCGCGAAACTAATTCTGCGAATTTATCTCCGCGAAACATTTATAGCGAAGACAATTTTGCGAAGCCATTGTCGGGAATTTATTTCCGCGAAACCTTAACCGCGAATTTATTAGAGCAAATACATTTTAGCGAAACATTTTACGCGAACACTTTACAGCGAATTTTTTATGGCAATATGTTTGCGCGAAGTCACTTTCGCGAGCGCATTACCGCGAAACAATAAATATATTGCGACTGCATTTATTTAAAAGAAAACAACATATTATTTATTATTTGATGTTTTTTAATAAAAAAATGATATGCTACTATTGTAATATTATTTTTGTTACAATTTATTAGTGATTTCACGCCCAAGATTTTAAGTAAAAAATATTTCTTGAAGTTTAAAACGATTTTTGAACATATTTTGATAAAAATTTTAAATCTTCTTTGTAAATATATTTTTTTTGAGCAATTCATTTGTGAAATTTATTATAAATATACAATTTTTAAGTGAAATCTTTTATATTTTTTTTTATCATTTTTGTAAAATTATCTATTTCTTAAATATATTAAAAGAGGTGGGTTTTATATTCAACTTATTTATGTTATTTTATATGATCTTTTTAAGGAAAATAATTTAATGTGACAATTGTCTTGTTCGTTATTTATTAAGATTTTTGAAATTTATTGACTCAAAAGGGCAAAAATATCATTTATATTGTAAAGATGTTAAAATAAAAATTCATTGAAGATGTTCCTTGGAAATTTGGCAATTATCATAATCAGTATTTTAAAACATATTAGATTTTTTTTAACGCATGTTAAATTATAAATTTCAATTAGGATGTACCATATAAAAGCGACAATTGTCATAATGATTAATTTTAAAGTTTTTTTACAATTTTTTGACGTAAATGGGCAAAAATATAAGTTGTTACATGTTAAAATAAAATTTCAGTGAAGATGTACCATAGATATAAGTTACAATTGTCACAATCGTTGTTTATAAAGTTTTTTGATATTTTTTGTTGCAAATGGGTAAATATATAGATTGTATACATGCTTAATTAAAATTTCATGAAGATTTACCATTGAAAATTTACAATTGTCATAATCGTTGTTTATTAAGTTTTTGAATTTTTTTGTTGCAAATGGGTAAAAATATAGATTGTAAACATGGTAAATTAAAATTTCACGAAGATCAACCATTGAAAAGTGACAATTATCATAATCGTTATTTTTAAAGTTTTTTAAATTTTTTTGATTAAAATGCGTTAAAATAAGTATTGCTAGTATGTTTAAATAAAATTTCGGTGGAGATGTACCCTAGATAAGTGACAATTATCATAATCATTATTTTTAAACTTTTTAAAATTTTTTTAAGGTAAATGGGTAAAAATATCGATTGTAAACATGTTAAATTAAAATTTCATGAAGATGTACCATAGATAAGTGACAATTGTCATAATCGTTATTTTTTAACTTTTTTTGAATTTTTTTGACGTAAATGGGCTAAAGTAAGTATTGCTAACATGTCTAAATAAAATTTCAGTGAAGATATACCATAGATAAGTTATAATTGTCATAATCGTTTTTATTTTGAATTATTTTGTTGTAAATGGGTAAAAATATAAATTGTAAACATGCTAAATTTAAATTTCATGAAGATGTACCATTGAAAAGTGACAATTGTCATAATCGTTATTTTTAAAGTTTTTGAATTTTTTTGACCAAAATGGGTTAGAATAAATATTGCTAGCATGTTTAAATAAAACTTCAGTGAAGATGTACCCTAGATAAGTGACAATTATAATAATCATTATTTTTAAACTTTTTTTGACGTAAATGGGCCAAAATAAGTACTGATAACATATTTAAATAAAACTTCAGTGAAGATGTACCCTAGATACAGTGGCGTAGCTACGGGGGTGGTTTTCGGGTTTGGACCCCTCCCAGAGCAAAATTTTTTTTTAGATTATACGTTCAAAAGACTTAAAAGTGATTTTATATGAATTATATTTTTCTAGTTTTGATGTTTGTGGAAGGATATTATATTACTATTGAAATTATTCTGGTATTATTATAAAGTCATTGAGAATAATCTACTAAATTATAATAACATATTATTGATGCATTTAAAAAATATATTTATTATATATTATCGAAGATATGGTTATGATTTGTAAGATAAACCCGGCCGAAAGCCGGGCAAAAGGGCCGAAGGCCCGTTAAAGAGGGTCTGGGGGCGAAGCCCCCAGCTTTTATACGTATGGACCCCCTCTAAGGAAAATTCCTAGCTACGCCACTGCCTAGATAAGTGACAATTGTCAAAATCGTTATTTTTAAAGTTTTTTCTATTTTTTTAACGCAAATGGATAAAAATATAGATTATAAACATGTTATTAAAATTTCATGAAGATGCACCATAGATAAGTGACAACTGTCATAATCATTATTTTTAAAATTATTTAAATTTTTTAGACGCAAATGGGCAAAAATAAATATTGCTAACATGTTAAATTAAAATTTCAGTGAAAATGTACCCTAGATAAGTGACAATTATCATAAGCGTTATTTTTAAAGTTTTTTGAATTTTTTTGACGCAAAACATGTTAAATTAAAATTTCATGAAGATATTCCATTGAAAACAATTTTTATAATCGTTATTTTTAAAGTTCTATTATGTAAAGGGTTAAAATATAGAATGTAATCCATTTTATTCATAATAAATTCTTAACATTAAATTTATAGGAAGTTGATTATATCATATAAATAATATTCACATGGTTTTTAAGTTCTTTCTATAAAAATCCTACCCTGAATTCAGACTCAGCACTATTTTGTCACGAGTATACAAAAATATTTGCTAACTGTGAATGCAAGGTTATACATTTTAATGATGTAGAAATAAAATTTATTAAAGAATAAGATTGTGAATCTATATCTTAAAAGTTTAGAATTTAACATATGTTACAACTATCTTTAATAATCACTTTGCATATCTTAATCAAATTTAAGCAGGATAAAAGGAACAACGATTATGACAATATGATAATGAAAATAATTTGTTTTTTTGTTTCGACTGAAATTTTATTTTATGTTAACAATTTATATTTTTGTCCAATTGCGTCAAACAATTCAAAAACTTTAAAAATAACGATGATGACTATTGTCACTTATCTAGGGTACATCTTCACGGAAATATTATTTTAACATGTTAGCAATTTATATTTTAACCCATTTGCTTCAAAAAAATTTAAAAACTTTTAAAAATAACGATTATGACAATTGTCTTTTATATGGTAAATCTTCATGAAATTTTAATTTGACATTTTTACAATCTATATTTTTACCCTTTTGTATCAAAAAATTTTAAAAAACTTTAGAAACAACGATTATGACAATTGTCACTTATCTATGGTACATCTTCATTGATATTTTATTTTAACATGTTAGCAATTTCTATTTTTGCCCATTTGCTTCAAAAAAAATTAAAAAACTTTAAAAATAACGATTATGACAATTGTCACTTATATAGGGTACATCTTCACTGAAGTTTTATTTAAACATGTTATCAATACTTATTTTGGCCCATATACGTCAAAAAATGTTTAAAAATAACGATTA